GAATCTGGTTTTGTGGAAACTTTCTAGGATTGGAACTTTGTTTAATCAAATACATTTTTGTTGGTTTCAATTGGTTGGATATTTGAGATATTGGGTTACTGACCAGTGACCAAAGTCCCATCTATTTCACTATTTAATTTAGCCTTTGTTACCATATTTTGGTGCTCATGTTTATGGAGTCCAGTCAAACACTACAATTAGAAAAACAGGTTCAGTTCTAATTATAAACATATTTATGCGTTGCTAGCTTTGGTGTTTTATGTTTCAGCTATTATTATTGTTATCGCTAACCTTTTCTTGTCATTGACTAATTGTTGTATATTTGTATGCGTCTATGATCTAAATACTGTTTTTTTTAAACTGTAAACAGGAGCAACTTCTTTCCTCTTCACTGAATACAAGTATGTTGGACTATTCATGGGCATTTTCGCGGTCCTGATCTTCCTCTTCCTTGGATCTGTTGAGGGATTCAGCACAAAGAGTCAACCTTGCCACTACAGCAAGGATAGGATGTGCAAGCCTGCCCTTGCAAATGCTATCTTCAGTACTGTTGCCTTTGTGCTTGGTGCAGTCACCTCTCTTGTATCTGGTTTCCTTGGAATGAAGATTGCAACTTATGCAAATGCCAGGACAACCCTTGAGGCAAGGAAGGGTGTTGGGAAGGCATTCATTACTGCTTTCCGCTCTGGTGCTGTCATGGGTTTCCTGCTTGCTGCAAGTGGCCTTGTTGTTCTTTACATTGCCATCAACTTGTTCGGAATTTATTATGGTGATGACTGGGAAGGTCTTTTTGAGGCTATCACTGGGTATGGTCTTGGTGGTTCTTCTATGGCCCTATTTGGCCGTGTAGGTGGCGGTATTTACACGAAAGCTGCTGATGTTGGTGCTGACCTAGTTGGGAAAGTAGAAAGGAATATCCCTGAAGATGACCCAAGAAACCCAGCTGTAAGAATTCTTTCCTGACGCTTTAAAAACTTGTTTCTTAATATTACTTGAAATAATTTGTTTTGTTCTTTTCATAATGATTTGTGTTATTGAGCAAAGCATTAAAACATCGATAGGAATTTATGTGCATGCAAGAATGATCATTTCTTCCTCCTTTTGCAGGTCATTGCAGATAATGTTGGTGACAATGTTGGAGATATTGCTGGAATGGGGTCAGATCTCTTTGGTTCCTATGCTGAGTCATCTTGTGCTGCTCTTGTCGTTGCTTCAATCTCTTCTTTTGGAATTAACCATGAATTCACTCCTATGCTGTACCCGCTCCTGATTAGCTCAGTTGGTATCATTGCTTGTCTGATAACCACACTTTTCGCCACTGATTTTTTTGAGATCAAGGCTGTTGATGAAATTGAGCCTGCCCTCAAGAAGCAACTTATAATTTCCACCGTTGTGATGACGGTTGGCATTGCACTTGTCAGTTGGTTAGGCCTCCCATATTCCTTCACAATATTCAACTTTGGTGCCCAGAAGACTGTGTATAACTGGTATGCCCATATTTAAATTGGAATTCCATCTTTTACTTAGAACTTCATTGTTAAAATCATTGACCTCATTTCCCTGATTTTGATAGGCAACTTTTCTTGTGTGTGGCGGTTGGTCTTTGGGCTGGACTAATCATCGGATTTGTGACAGAGTATTACACAAGCAACGCCTACAGGTGCTTATAAGTCTGATCATATTCAATGTTGTCTGTAATCTTATATATTTGCTTCTAGTCCCTCATGTCCCTCACACCTTGAATTTCCCTTGTCCAGCCCTGTCCAAGACGTTGCTGATTCCTGCAGAACCGGAGCTGCTACTAATGTCATCTTTGGCCTTGCTCTGGGATACAAATCTGTCATTATTCCTATTTTTGCTATTGCTTTTAGTATTTTCCTCAGCTTCAGCCTTGCCGCAATGTACGGTGTAGCTGTGGCTGCCCTTGGAATGCTTAGCACAATTGCAACTGGTCTTGCCATTGATGCCTATGGCCCTATCAGTGACAATGCTGGAGGAATTGCTGAGATGGCTGGCATGAGTCACAGAATTCGTGAGAGAACTGATGCTCTGGATGCTGCAGGAAACACCACTGCTGCCATCGGGAAGGTAAAACTGCTTATCTTGTCGAAAGTGTTTTTATGTTGTTTTTATGCTTCATTTCCACTCTGAAGTCAATTAAAAATTTAAAATTGTGTTTGCACTTGTAAATATTTTTCCTTTTGTTACAAATGTCACAATTTTAAAGTTAATTCCCATCTCCATGATTGTACTTGTAGGGTTTCGCCATTGGCTCGGCAGCCTTGGTGTCTCTTGCCCTCTTTGGTGCCTTTGTGAGCCGTGCCGCCATCTCCACTGTCGATGTTCTGACACCTAAAGTTTTCATTGGACTGATTGTTGGTGCTATGCTCCCATACTGGTTCTCTGCTATGACCATGAAGAGTGTTGGCAGCGCAGCGCTCAAGATGGTGGAGGAAGTCCGTAGGCAGTTCAACTCCATCCCTGGGCTCATGGAGGGCACAACCAAGCCTGACTACGCAACCTGTGTGAAGATCTCCACTGATGCATCCATCAAGGAGATGATTCCCCCAGGTGCTCTTGTCATGCTCAGCCCTCTCATTGTTGGGATCTTCTTTGGTGTCGAGACCCTCTCAGGACTACTTGCTGGTGCTCTCGTTTCTGGTGTTCAGGTTCGCACATTCTTTTTCACAGCCACACTCTCATCACTTACTCTTGCCATATTGCATTCATAACCATGTTGCTTCCTTTCAGATTGCCATCTCTGCATCAAACACTGGTGGTGCCTGGGACAACGCAAAGAAGTACATTGAGGTAAGAACTTATCAGCCATCTTCCATCACAGCAACACTTGACGTCAAGCAGTTTTTTTCCCCTCCCATATTCGCCAAACATTATAACTCTCGTTCTCCCTGGTTTTAGGCTGGTGCATCTGAGCATGCAAGGACCCTGGGCCCGAAAGGCTCAGACTGCCACAAGGCTGCTGTGATCGGCGACACCATTGGGGATCCTCTCAAGGACACCTCAGGCCCCTCGCTCAACATCCTCATCAAGCTGATGGCTGTCGAGTCGCTCGTGTTTGCCCCGTTCTTCGCCACCCATGGAGGCATCCTCTTCAAGTGGTTTTAGATGGTGACGATAGATTTACGAGGACGTTATTTTTGCCAGGAGGGCGCTGGAAATCATCCATATATTATAGAGTTCATCGAGTTGACACATATAGTTCCCTCCGTTTCCTATTTGTTATTACTGTCTGTCCATCAGTCGATCATGCTAAGCTTATTAGCATCATACCTGTGTCTAGTTTTTTTGAGTCTGGTAGTTGTAGCCGATGGGAGCAAATCACTGGCCACCTACAGGTTTGGACAAGAGTACCTTGAATTTGCGTTTTCCTGTAGGTTGGATGATACGATGATGGTGATGATTATTGTACGTGCACGGAATGCACCTGTCTCAGTGAAATTTTCCCGGGAAGGTTCTGCTGTTTCTTTATGTCCTTGTGGGAATGTTAGGATGATCTTGTACAAAAAAGAAAACAACTCTAGTGATAGGGGGTGGAGTACATGTGTGCCAACTAAGTTTGAGTTGTCTTGAATTATTGAAGTAAAATACTTTAGCTAAAATGACGTAGTAGTGCGTGTGCTTGCTTTTGTTTTAAGATAGAGAATTATAGTATTATTTTGTATACTATATTTTCCTCCTTTCTTGCTTCGTTCGTTTCATATTATAAGACTTTCTAGCAGACTCACATTCATATATATGGTAATGAATCTAAATATATATGTGTGCCTAGATCCATTAATAACTATATGAATGTGGGCAATGCTAGAAAGTTTTATAATATGAAACGGAGGTAATAATATGAAATGGAGGCAGTATCTTATATTTTCTTTATCCTAAATAAATAAATCTAAATTTCTGGATATGATAGATAGTGTCACATTTTTTTTGATAGGTTTGTTAGAAATTTATTTTGAAACGAGGAATTACATCTACACTCTATCATTCATATTGCCAACAGGGTTTACGATTCCGATAGACCCTTTCGTTTTGGCCACTGGCGGAATTTGAAATTTCGCGAAATTCGGTGAAAAACCAATAAATTCCGAACAAATTTCATAAACCAAAATTTGAATACAAATTCTCTAAATTTGCCGACAAATTCTCAAAAACTGGTCGGTTTTGGCGAAATTCCGATCGAAATCATCGAAATTTCGGATGGAGTTCTTGTCAAATACTGCTGCTTTTCGGTTTAATTTTTTATTCTTTTCTTTCCTGATGTAAGTTTCAGTAAATACACATAATACATTATTTTTTTCGAAAATTTATATCCCAATAGGTTCTATGAATATCATAATATTTATAAGATTTTATTTGATTTATTCTTTTTTTATCAATTCAAATTTGAATTTAAATGAAACTTCTCAAAATCTCATACGGTTTTTACTTTCGAGCCTCGTCAAAACATCAAAATTTCGCGAAATCTTACCGGATTTCGTCGGAATCGAAGACCCTGGTTGCCAATCATCAGCACTACCATCAATAAAAATAAGAATAAATAGTAGTACTCCATAGTCCATACTGGAGTAGTGATTTTCTGCCGGCGACTCGGATATTAATCGCAGCAACTAATCGACTCCTCACCATTCATCTCAAAATTCAAACAACTTCTTCACTTGATGAAGAAGAGCTTCCCATCAGAAATCGATCCCCATTCATCTCAAAATCAAACAACTTCATCGTGCGGACGGCGTCGCCGGTGCCGGGCATCCCTTCCCAGCCACCATTCTCCCAAGCGCCGCCGCACGCCCACACCTTCCCTCCGGCCATCTTCGCCGGTGAGCCTCCGCCGTCGTCTCCCCGGCAGCCCACCCAGCCGCGGAACAAGCCTAGAGGAGCGGCTGCTCGAGGGGCAAGGCGGAGAGAGGTCAGTGACTCAGTGCGTGGTGAATCCGAGACGCTAGCTTAGAAGGGCTTGGAGCCTGAGGGAAGGGGGGGGGGGGGGGGTGGGGAGACTTCCGGTGCGCGTTGACTTGCTTTCCTCGTTCCTGTTTTGCCGCCATGGTTGGGTTCGGAGAGATTATCGCCTCCGCGGTGATCAAGGAACTATCGGGGAAGCTGGGCTCTCCGATTTGGAACACGATCATGTCTCAGGTGACCTTCAGAGATGATCTAGAAGCCATCAAGAGCATGCTGAGCAGCCTCCAAGCGAAGCTGAACGATGCGGAGAGGAAATCGCAGACGGATGGCAGCGTTCGCGACTTGCTGAAGAAACTCAAGGCCGTAGCCTATGACATAGAGGATAGGCTGGCCGTTTATGAATCGAGCTCCAACGATGGCCATGATGGTTCTCTCAGACATGTCAGCATCCTTCCTGATCATGATTTCTCGTTTAAATGCGATTTTTCAGTCTAACTTTGTGTTTGCTAACTGACAGGAATGGTCGAGCTTTCCTGAAAAATTGAAGTCACGATATAACTTGCCAAGGGAGATGAAGAAGATGAGGAGAAGACTTGAAGGAATAAAGAAAGAAATGGATCTCACCAGCTTTAAGGTAGATGGTGCCACAGAGGAGCAGGATTCTTATATCAGTCGGCATTTAGAGCCTAGAAGATACAGCAGTGAGGATACTGTCGGAAGGATCGCGGAGAAAGGGAGAATAATGGATCTGCTGCTATCAGATGAAGAACACTCCATTATTCCTATATATGGACTTGGAGGATTAGGTAAAACCACTCTTGCTCAAATGGCTTTTAGTGACTGCACAACACAGATAGCTTTTGAGATGCTAGCATGGGTTTATGTGTCTGAGAAATTTGATCTTAATGCAATCAGTTTATCTATCAAACAGCAATGTAATAGCCATACGCTCCAATATGGTGATTCTGGAATTCATAATGTTGCTGTGGAGTCTATCCTCACGGAAAAACGATGTCTTATTGTTTTGGATGATCTCTGGGAAGAAAATAATTTTAAGCTGGATGAGTTAGAGGCAATGCTTAGACTCTGCAAGAAAGGTAGCAAGGTTATTGTGACTACACGTAGCAAGAAGGTTGCTGACCGAATGAACAAAGATTTGCAAATTGAATTGGGTCTTCTACCAAACGAAGACTGCTGGACCTTGTTCAGGAAAAAAGCACGAGTACCGACACCAGTGCCTCCCTACGTGGAAGCGATGCGGGAGACAATAGTGGAGAAATGCCAAGGTTTGCCATTAGCTGTAAAATCCCTTGGTTACTTTCTAGGAAGAATGCGTCCGACTGAGTGGGAACAAAACCTACATAGTAATATATGGGCCGAAAAAGATGATCGTTTTCCAGATAACGGAGTTATAGCCAACTTGAAGCTTAGTTATTACAGCATGCCTTGTTCTCTGAGGTTGTGCTTTGCATATTTGTCAGTCTTCCCCAAGGGCTCCCACATACAGAAGAGCAGTTTGATTCAGCAATGGATTGCTCTTGGATTCATTCAGCCCCCAGAATCCATCCCGACAGAACAATACGCAGAGTACTGCTTGCAAGAACTCATTGAAATGTCCTTTTTGCAGAATGTGAACGCGGCAACTGCGGTATGCTTCCTCAGCCGCAACTCTTTTTCTCTCTTTTTTCCCATTCGATTGATTTCCAAATAGTATTATTATACAATATTTTATCAAAATTTCACATGATATTATATGTAAAAATGGTGGTAATCGGAACAAATATGATAGAGAAAAATGAGTTTATAGATAAATGTAATTTGAAGGAATCGAGTAAGCGGAATTCAATGGAAGGATCACTTTTGCTCGGAATGGTACCGAAACTAGTGGTATGTCAATGGTCAATACCCAATTGAAATTTGACCAATATTTAGAATGGAAAGACGCATCACTTGTTGCATACTATTTTTGTTAGTGGAATGATAAATACCAACTACTCTGGCTAATATTGAAATGGAATTGATAAGCTTGACGCTCCCTCCTTTCACTTTGGTTGCTGTGGAGGTGTCCACAACATGGTGGTGGATGCACACAGGACACAAAAAATGCTTAGCTTTGGCAGTCTACTTCTGTTGAATAGACTTATTCATGGGCAGCCTAGCCAGATCTTCCACCATTGGGCTAAAATTTTGGGCCCAAAGTCATGAAAAAAGCCTAAAGCTTGAAATCAGAATAAAACATATGCATGCACCAACAAGTTCAATCCAAATTTAATCCTGAAACTAATTGGATAATTGGAATATTGTCTTTTTGTTGACATGCTATGATATTTGGATTTAAAAATCTTGCGAAATGTTAGATGAATATTGTACCAATGTTACTATTTTTTTTTTCAGTTTTTTCATAGCTATTTGTACTGAGATTAAATGAGTAGCACATAAATTTGATGCATCAAATGCAAGCAGCAGTGGTTTGGTGATGGAGTCATGAGTAACACCACCCATCAGGTTAAGTATTATGTACATGTGGGCGCACATTCAATAGGATTTTATTGAGGCTAGGGAGTTGACGCTAGTCTTTGTCTCTTTGAGTATGTGTTAAGGGGTGTATTCATGGAGGTGTCAGATGTGGTTTGTGTCCGTGAGTGTGGTGTGCTGGTGGAGTGGTGTGTGCCCGTGTAATGAAAAAGAAGAAGAAGAAATGCCTGTTGTAGACGGCTGCACCTTGGTCGTACGCATCTAGTATTAAGAAACGACGGCCAAATTGAATTTGAACTCCGGATAAGCTTCTAACCATTTTATGTGCTGAGTTTGGTTAGTTTCACACCATATAAAATGCATTCGTTATCATGCATAGAAAGAATGTGTCTGTCTTGCTGTTTTATTTATCCTACTCTGTCAAGTGACTAAACTTAATTTTTCAGATGTCTGCACGATATACTGAGCCTCAAAATGTACTCAAGATGCATGATATAGTTCACGATCTTGCAAGTGTAATTGCAGCTGATGAAGTATGTATCTTTCATGCCAGTGACTGCAGTAGCTCCAACACTAAAAATTGCTGCCGCTACATGTACCTCTTGAATTTGAGTGAATTTTCCCGAGATCCCATATTGCCCAATACAGCAAGAGCGCTTCATTTCAAGGATTGCAGGAAATCTCCCAAGAATTATTCAGAAACTAAATTCTTGCGCATCTTAGATTTCAGTGCATGCACCATCAATGAACTACCAGACTCGATCAGTCATTTGAGTCTATTGAAGTACTTGAATGTTTCAGGCCTAAGTGGCACATTACCTAAATCGTTGAGTAAACTACATCACCTGCAAGCATTGACCCTGTCAACAAACATTGACCTTGTTGAGCTCCCTTCCTACATTTGTGAGTTTCTCAAGCTACAGTATTTGGATCTACATGGCTGCTCAAAACTGAAAAAACTACCAGATGGCATTCACAAACATAAAGAGCTCCAACACCTGAACCTATCAGACTGTACAAGTCTAGAATCACTTCCTTTATTCAGTTCACAGTCTGGTGGGCTTCAAAAACTTTCATTCCTTAATGTATCACATTGTTCTCAACTTGTAAAGCTGTCGTTCCTCGAAGAAAAACTTGAGAAGCAGCCTGATCATTATCTGCCAAACATGGTACATCTAAATATGTCATTTTGCCCCAAGCTGCAAGAACTGCCTACTGGATTATTTAAGCACATGAGGAAGCTTCTTTTTTTGAATTTCTCTGGTTGTACCTCTCTTGAGGATCTTCCTGAATTTGTAGAGCACGACGCTGGCTGCTCGATGTTGGAGGTTTTGGATTTATCGGGTTGTGCTAAACTGCCTGCCCTCCCTGAGTCTTCAACTGAACTCCGTGAACTCCGGTGTTTGAATCTTTCAGGCTGTTCTAAACTTCAAAACTTTTTGAAGTTGATTCCACGATGGAAGTTTGGTACATTAGAGTACCTCAACATCTCGGGGGTTGGCGCAAAAAGTGATTCTGAGGCACCAGGTACCTCTGCAGAAGACCAAAGTTCACAAGATCCCATTAAAGAGTTAGAGTTGGGTATGCTGCAGGAAGATATCATCACCCAAGGCTTGTTTCGTCTGAAGTACCTGTCCATTGGAGGATTCACTCTCTACTCGGAGCAAGGTATTGCAAGAATGGTGGACCTTCTGACACTGCCCAATTTTAATGTACGCCTGCAAGATGATGGGAGGTGCAGCAATATTTTGATCCTCCAGCAAATCCTTGATGTTACACATCGTCAACTCAATATCAAGTGCCTAGAGAATGTGGTGTTTTCAGAGGAAGCGAAGCAGCTTGAACTGGACAGGATGCGACAGTTTCATTCGTTGGGTTTCGAATGGTCTTTATCTGGTATGGTATCTTCTGTTAAACAACGAGCAGTGCTGGGTAATTTGAGGCCTCATAGGAATTTACAGTCCCTCTCTATAAAAGGTTACATTTGCACCGAATTTCCTGATTGGATTAACAAGATAAATGATACACTCCCAGACTTGGTGAAACTTGTATTCTCTGATATCAATGGTTGTAACTATATCCCAATTAGTCAATTACCAAATTTAAAAGAGCTAGAAATTAATAATATGCCCCGGCTTAACAAGATATATGGTACGCTCCCAAACCTGGTGAAACTTATATTGTCTCATATCGAGAGATGCGACCATATCCCTGTACTTGGTAATTTACCAAATCTACAAGAGCTAGAAATCTATAATATGCCCCAGCTTCATGATGCACGAATTGGGCCATGCAATAAGCTAAGAAGACTGACACTGGTAGGACTACCAAATGAGGCCACGGTACATTTATTTTATGATATCTGTACACACACAGAAGTACAGATGGTGGAATCAAGTCATGGCTGCGATGAAGAGATGACAGAAACAGGACAAGAGTTCAACACATTACCTGGCTGTTCTTTTCGTAAAAACGAAGTGAGAAGAAGTGAGGAACTTTCTAGAGGCCCATCCACTGAAAAGGGCAAGGTAAAGAATTGGTTTGACGCTCTATTATTATCTATTGGAGGAGCAAGGGCAAAGAAAACATTGGCCTCAGCATTGTCCCACATTTCACTAGTGCCAGAAGAGTCCCAGTTGTCACCAAAACTGTCTCATGGTTGTTTGGAGGTCACAAGTGCAGCGCTCCCCGAACTTGATTACCTACAAATTGGAAGTTGCCATGACCTGAAACTGCATCCCACTCCCCCAAAGAGCAAAGAGTACTTCGTCAAAGATAGCAGTCTCAGTCTGCCTGTAGACAAGGAAGATACTTCAAGTTTTCCATCACGTCCATATGATCAGTATACTGAAGGATGCTCACATTCAGGACAAGGTACTGCGATCCCTCCACACGAACATGCTATGCAGAAGTCGATCCCTAGATTGAAATCAAAACTGCATATCGAAGGCTCACGAGATCAACTTCGCCAATGGACAGAACTTCTAAGCACCCACTTGGACGAGTTGACTATCACTGACCCATTGTTTTACAATTCGAAGTATTTAGAGGAAGAGAGCACAGTTAGTGAACATGATTCCCTGGAGAGCATCTATGGTCTGCCACAGTCATGCATTGCCAACTTGGAGAAAATAAATTTACCGCCATCTCATCAATATGGACTAGAAGAATGTTCTAACTATGATAATATTGTGGACTTTGTAGGTAGAATTGATTCTCAGGTTCCGTATATCAATATTGGAAAGGTATGTAGTTTCTTTGTTTCTAGCAGTACCAAGCAAATTTACTGTTAAGTCTAGTAGATGTCAAGGGTATTAGAATACTTTCCCTTCTCTTGTGTACATAATATATATGCTATTTAGGGCTAAATCAATGCACTGTTGAAAATCCCCAATTCACTAAAATTAACATGATATGAGAGCACCGGATTTCTTTATTCCGGCTAGATATGGCAAATAGGAATTCCCCGTCGAGGAATGCATCCCCATCCCTGCTCCCGCGAAATACAATGGGGAAAACTTGTTCCTATCTCCGCGGGAATTAATCCCCGTAGGGTCTACATCCCTGCTTAAAACAATATATAGATGTGAAATTCTATATGCAATGCAACACATATATTCACACTTTATATTAATATAGCAACTTATACCCACTAATACATATGATAAAAACACAAGATTAATCACATAAGATAAGTAAACAAATTAAACTTGGACCGAAAATTAAACTTGAACCCTATGCGGGTCTCTGTAGGGGACGGGGACGGGGACGGGGAATGGAGGATCACCCCATCCCACGAAACCTAACAGGACATGATTCCTACCATTTAATTCCCATGAACTAATTCTAACCTTCCCCCTAATAGAGGGATATATTTGGTTGCAAGGGTGGGATGGATCAGGATAGGTTGGACCTTTTTTAGGTTTGGTTTTGGGATGGGTGGGATAGGATGGTTCTCTTAGGTAGTGTTTGGTTGGAGGGATATCCCGGGATGGGATGGGATGATCCCCAAAACCAAGTGTTTGGTTGAGAGATTAAGAGGGATAGGATGGTTCCAAAAAGAGAATATTCCTCCAATATTCGGGACGATCTCATCCGCGAAAATCTGGCGGACGGCGCCATCCCACTTCGCACGCGCGCGGTAACCCTCTGGCCTACCTTTTTTTTCACCGCACCCCTTTCCTTTCTCCTTCTCTCACCGGCGGCGGGAGCATGTGTTTGGTTTCATGACTAAGTGGGATGGGATGAAGCCATCCCTGGTTTTGGGGTTGGAATCATCCACTCATCTGTTTAGTTCACGGGATGGGCTTATCCTAGTTTTTTGTTTGGTTGAACGGATGAGAGAGGGATGGGATGGACACCGTTTGCAGCCACCGTCAACAATTGCCAAGTGGGCGTAGGAGTGGCGACCAGGCAGAGGAGCGTGTGCGGCGTGGGCTCGCGACAGCGGGTGGGCACGGCTCGCGAGCAAGCCTGCGACGAGAAGGCGGAGGAGTGGCTGACGCTGGCTCACGAGCAAGCAGGCAGAGGTGCAGCGCGGGCTCCTAGCAGGCGGGCGGCGAGCGCGGCCGAGGAGCGCAAGCATGCGGGCGATAAGCAAGCGGAGGAGTGCTCGCGGGTTGGCGGCGAGCAGGCGAAGGAGCGGCAGCCGGCGGCTGGGTACGCGAGCCACGGAGGAGCTCGGTGATGGTCGGAGAAGTGGGCGAGCAGGCGGACGACTAGCGACGACCGACGGTCAAGAGAAGCTGCAGCGGTGACTGACAAGCAGGCGACGATGATTGGCGTGCGGGTAGGCAGACGTCGGGCGGGCGAGTGAAGTAGCGGCGCACGGTTCACACCGTGCGCCCGTCGAAGTGGGTCGAGATGATCAGCTCGATTTTGCCGGGCGCTTTGGACCTGGATCTAACAGGAATATTCCTCGAGAACTCCCCGCGAGACAGGGGCGGACCTAGGCCTTGGGCCACCTGGACCGTGACCCGAGGCCTAGGTGTGAAGGCCCATTAGGATGGTATTTTTTCCACCATGTAAACAGAACACAAGGCCTAAGTCCATCATCTTCATTCTTGTTTACTCGCTGCACTGCTTGCTGCTGCTGCTCTCCAGCACACAGCTTATTGTTCATCATGTCACTACTTCTAGACTAGTGGAGTTGATATGCCACTGCTATTTGGGCCAGCTTGGCTATTATTCTAGCTGGTAGCTTCTTTGGACATCCTATCATGCATATCTAGTGCTTCAAGGCTGATGCAATCTGCTGGCTGTTACATCCCACTAAGTATGGCATTCTGCTACAAACATATCTACTAGTATTCCTTCTTTGCTAATACGTTAGTGTAATTGAGCATGCTGCTAGTGTTATTCGCTATTTCAAGTCAATTACAATCTACTGAATCCATCCAAGTGCACTGCATCTCTACTAGTTTACTTGTGTCTTTTGCTAGTATGTTGCAATGTCCAATAGTTTCCATCCTGTCTACCAAGTCCATTGCATCATGGTATTTTTGATGGCATATTATTATTTCAATATGAATTATCCCTACAATCTTCAGCTATGATAATAGGATTTAAAAAGTAATTAGTGCTCCGTCTTTCTACTTGACAGGGGAGCCTTCTCAGAGTGTATAATTAGTATAGGTATTAAAAAGAATGGATTTAAATTACCCAATAACAAACACAAAGATGGCTCTGCCATCACTGCTCCGGAGATTTGCGGATAGTTGAAGCGTTGATACTGGTCTCATGCATAATCGATCTATATAACCTGGCTAAAGCTCAAGCGTGCTGCTTTGAGGATGCACACGTATTACAAATACATGCAAGCTTCCAGCCTTCCATGCGGGTGGTCACATAAAAAGAAACATATAATGTAATGCCTGCGCAGGTGCATAAGCTATCAAATTGATGTGCTTTTTACAGCAGATAGCTGTGGCTGCTATTATACTTACTAGCAATGTTCGTTTGGGATTTAAAAAAATGGTAGTTGTGTTTACAGATTATGCCTATGTCTAAAAATGCAGGTGGGCACTTTTTCCGTAAAACCAATTGAGGAAGGAGGAATATTCTGCTCAAGTAACATTCCATTACTGTATAAACACTATGACGGACAAAGTAGCAGCCTGGTCATTAAAAATCTTGAGAATTTGAAGGGATCACTGGGTGAAGTCCAAGAGTTGGCGAAGTATCAGCAAGTTCGTTTGGTGTGGTCCAGAAGCAATTTCATTGAGGATTCAAGCATGGCTGAGGACAAGGCAGTTCTCCAAAAACTCCGACCCCACCACGACCTGGAAACAATTGAAATAGAAGGCTATCGGGGTGATGAATTTTGCTATTGGATGATGAATATAAATTCTTCCCTTCCAAATCTTGTGACTGTTAAACTGTCTAACATCGCAAACTGTCAATGTCTTCCTCCACTTGGCCAATTAGCAAATCTGGAAGTATTGCACATCTCAGATATGCCTAGCGTCAGAAAAGTGGACGGTCATGTTTACGGCACTGAGAAACCATTCAGGAAATTGAGAGAACTTGAACTTAGTACTATGAAGAACCTAGAGGAATGGTTAACCACTACACTACTACTAACAGGTCACAATGACCATCAGCTTTCACGAAGCGAAGAAGTTTTCCCTAATCTCCAGGTTCTTCTCATTGCAAATTGTCCCAGGATGAGATTTGTTCCAGGTTTCCCTAGAAGTCGGGAGTGTACCCTCGAGAAAAGCTACAGCATACTATTATCATTTGAACAGTTCATCGGAAGCTCAAACTTGGCCTTGATCGCACTGAAAATAAATGACTCTGGCTCATCATCTGATATCGTGAAATTTCTTCAAGGCTGTGTAAATCTGTTGTATTTGACTATTGATTCCTGCATCGATCTAATCACCTTGCCAGAACCTATCAAAAACTGCCACTGCCTCAGGAAACTTGAGATAACGAACTGCTGGAACTTTTCTGTATTACCGGAGTGGTTGGGAGAACTAACTTTCCTGCAGAAGCTAGATATTCAAGCAAGCAAACTGGAATATTTGCCACAATCCATCCAACGCCTGACTGCCTTGGAACGGTTGGTGCTCAACAAGTGCAACTACAAACTGCGTGAACGGTGCACATCTAGAGAGGATAAAGAAAAGATTAAACATATCAAAACAATTGATATGAATGAGGTAACTCCGACTCTGGATCGGTAAATTATTTTGTAGAGGTGCAATTCCATCGGTGGAGCAGTGTGGAACTGTGGATGGAGGGGATAGAGAGAAGAGATATGGGAGAGTTGACATGTGGGACCAAGGGTATTTCTAACAATTCACATGATTTTTTTCCTATCCAACCAGAAATGATTATTTTAATAGGGGCAGTGTCCACCATCAAATATCCAACTTGAGAGCGTCTTCCCCCAAAACTTCACTTACAGTGTCCTTCAGCTAAAACTACGAAGTTACAACGCCTTGTATCAAAATTTGCCTTATAAAAAAATAGTAATGCAAAAATTTTAAAACGTGTGCACAAACTTCTATTATGTGCTAGTAGGCTAGATAAAAAAAATTCACAGCTTTTTGAATCTTCCAGTGGTCAACCAATTGTCAACTCTTACACGTATATTAGGGCATTTTAGGCTTTCTTTTAGAAGGTATTTGGTATATGGCATATTAAAGAAACTATGGATAAACTTGGTAGTATATTATAGAAGGGACAAAGTTGATGACAAACCATGAATCAGTGCAAACTCAATGGCATAGTAAAAACATCATTACATGACCGGTTGCACCGGCCTAAGCCAACCTCAAGCTACCTCCAGTCTAACTACGCCTCCTTGGTGTTAGATCGTGGTTGCTCTGCACTACGCCCACTCAAACACTTGTTCACAACCATTGTTCTTATTTACACCTTAGGACTTTATTTCATCACAACTATGATTAACTATGTATATAATCATGGTGTCAACCCCAACGTGTGGTCCAGTTCCCGATGGCACACATCTGCTTTAGTTTTTTGGTTTAGATACTTGGAGTCTTATAAGATTTGACCAATCATATAACCAAAATGGTAAAGTATTTAATTTGTGATTGGAGTGACTAGCATACATTGGGTATCCTATGCTAGATGTACAAACTATTTATATGCAAACTACCATGATATATCTCTATGGTGATTCAACTTCAACTCATTTATTGATTAATAATGTTTCCAACCATTCTGTGTGTATGTTAACATTAACCATTGGAGGTCATTTACACCTACTCCCTTCATTTTAAATTACTTTTCGTTTTAGTTCTATCCATAGTCAAAACATTCTTAATGTTAACCATCAAGTTCTAGAAAGATATATAGTTTAAGATTCACTATGAGAAACTCTCATATGAGTAATGCATATTTCGCATGTTGTTAATTAAACTATGTAAATTTCTAGAAATTGATGGCTAAAGTTAGGAATATTTGACTTTAAGACAAAGAAAAACGACATGTAATTTGAAATGGAGAGAGTATGTATAAACTAACTTAGATGCAGGTCAAGCTTACATCATTACGGCAAGTTCACCATCATTTATATCTTCTTTTTTTCCTAATTGTAGGTCCCTTTGATGTACTTGACTCCAAGCTATATAATGCTTCTTCAGCAAGTTACTAGTTCTCAATTTATCGATCTGCATATTGGTGGTCTGGAATGTATGATTGGCTTGAGGGAGATGGAGAACTTAGAATTACAGACAAAAAAGGAGTTATCCTCGTTGAGTTTGGAGTGGTCATATGCCTATGCTGATTCCAGCGATAAATACGCCTCTTCTGAGAGAGGGATGCAGAATAGGGCTGTTTTTGAAAAGCTCCAGCCTCATGATAGCCTTGAAATACTTTGCATAAAGAACTATGCTGGTGTTGATTTCCCTCGTTGGATGTCTTTACTCCCAAATCTTGTGCAATTGAAGATAGTTGGCATGCAATTTGAATATCTACACCTTGATCAGTTTCAGAACCTCAAAGAGCTGTTTCTCTCCAGAGTGCAATTTGCGCATCTCCACCTGAATGGTCTGCAGAACCTCATAGAATTGTCTCTCTCTGGCCTAAAATTTGGACATCTCCACATCGATCAGTTACAGAACCTCAGAGAGCTGAAAGTCTCCGGTGTGGAATTTCAACATCTCCACCTTGAACGGTTACAGAACATTACAGAGTTGAAACTCTCTGAAGAGCGATTTGAACGGCTCCATATTGATCAGTTACAGAACCTCAAAGAGCTGAAATTCTCCAGTGTGGAATTTGGACATCTCCATCTTGAGCGGTTACAGAGCATCACAAAGCTGGAACTCTGTAAAAAACAATTTGAACATCTCCACCTTGTTCAGTTAGAGAACCTCCGACAGTTGTATCTCTTCACCGTGAAATTTGAGTGTGTCGTTTTGCATCAGTTACAGAACCTTGAGGAGCTGCATCTTTCACAGATAGAAAGCCAAAAGTCTAACAAACCGGTTTGCATCGAGTGTAGCCAACCACTTAGGAAGCTCCAAAAGATTGTCATGACCAAAATAATAAACAAAGGGTTACAAATATCCGTGCAAGGAGGAGAGGGTGACAAAAATTTATTCCCGGGTCTTCAGCATTTGGAAATGGAATTATGTGAGAATTTAAGATTCCAACCATCCATCCCGAGGAGCACCCATTACATCATATCAGGGGAAATATATTTCGATAAATTTAATTACCGTAGAATATTGGGTTCGTTCCTGTTCCCATCGTTCAAGCAAGTCATGGGGACATCAATCCCTGGATCAACATCCAGGATGGAAATCAAGAACACCAGTGGTCTATCTTCCGAAAGATGGAAGAGCATTCCGCACCTCGAGCTTCTAAACATCACAGAACTAACAATAGACAAATGTGTTGATAGTTGTCCAGTGCCAAAGTGCATCCTGGGCTGGAAGTCCCTCCAGAAGCTTGAGATACGGAGATGCGAGGATATTGAATTGCTTCCAGAATGGTTGGGAGAGATGTCCTGTCTCACTGAGCTCATAGTGGAGACCTACTGGATGGAAGCTTTGCATCCATGCATCCGGCGGCTCACAAATTTGCAGAGCCTGACACTTATAACATGCTTGAATAGGTTTAAAGAAAGATGCAAGTCAGGAGATGACTGGATCAATATCAAGCACATTCCGCATATACAAATTACAGATAGAAATGGGCGTACGGAGATCATTTCACCAAGTTGTACCTAACTTCTAACATCCGCTGAAAACAAAGGTACACCGGATACTCTGCTGTTTTTATACCTCATGCTTCCACTGTAGGCCATGCAATAGCTCAAGCTAAGAATTTTGTATAAGAAAACAACAGCAGCAGGAAGTTTTTTTTTTTTTTGTGTATAAGACAATGCGAAACATCTACGTACCATTGTTTATTTCTTATGACGGCCTTACGAGGCAGCAACATCTCTTTTGGACTAGGACATTATTTGTACCCAATTTAATACTTGATACTATATGCCTTGTGTTTTCTTTGTGCAATCATAGATGAATTTTGTTAGAATAAAAAAATAGATGAACTTTGATCTCTTGTATTAACATCCATCATATTGAATTATTGAGTTTGTAAGCTTTTACTGAGATTAGCTGTGTTATTTTCCATTGACAATGTGACAACCTGCAGTTCTTGTGCGTGTTTGGAACGAAGTAACTAATTGCTATACTACGTTGCAGTTATTCATTACCAATAGCCACTCACCAATTGTTTGATAATCTCATGCAGCATTAGTTTCGACAGAGAGAGAAAAGAAAATTGAGGAGCTAGCTGATCAGTTGCTGGGACAGTATATAGCAGGAAGATATTAACCGGACAGCCCATCAGCCCAGAGTGTAAGTTAATGGAATAATCTTTTGCCATTAATATCATGTACACATGTAAATTAGTGATCATGCGTGACAATGGTGCTCTGTTTTCTTCAGTTGCCGATCAAGGATCTTAACTACATGTCTACATGGTACTGTCAAGGCTCTATGATGAATAGATTGTTTATCTCTGTGCGTGCAAGCCTTTCTGCTGCATATTGTACAAACGAAGCCTCGCTGTTCCATAGTATGCTGAGGACTTGTGTTAGGTTGTATGCTGAATAGTGAATACATATACTCCGTACCAAATGTTAACCAGCTGGTTTTCCCGTACAATTACACGAACCATTTGAAAGTAATTGTAGCTGCTGTGGAATTATTTCTGATGGACAACGTACTCGTACATTTTCATCTATCAGCATACATGGTTGTAATCTGGTCATCATGCTTTGTTCTAGATTAATGCCTTACTCTGATTAGCGTGGTGATTTCGAGGCCTTAATAATGAACATGGAGGCTCCACAGCATTATTTCCTTTTTGTGGCCAAGCATGATTTAACCTGAGGACAAAATGTCAAAGGCCTAACGTACGTATGGCAACAGAGGATGAGATGAAGGCCTTGTTTAGTTCCCAAATTTTTTTCTTAAAAACGTCACATCGAATCTTTGGACACATGCATGGAACATTAAATATAGATTAAAAAAGCTAATTGCACAATTTGCATAGAAATCGCGAGACGAATCTTTTTAAGCCTAATTATTCCATGATTAGCCATAAATATTAGAGTAACCCACGTATACTAATGACGGATTAATTAAGCTTAATAAATTCGTCTCATGGTTTCCAGGCAAGTTATGAAATTAGTTTTTTCATTCGTATCAAAAAACTCCTTCCGGCATCCGGTCAAATGTCTGATGTGACACCAAAAAATTTCTTTTTCGCAAACTAAACAAGGCCGAAGAGCAAGATACGAAGCCCATATTCCATGCCTTGACCGAGACCATCAAGCTACTCCACCGTGCTAAAATATAAAAGATATTGGATGATGTGACACATTCTAATATTATGAATCTGAACAGTTTTTATGTCCAGATTTATAGTACTAGAATATGTCACATTCACCCAAAATATTCTTACATTTTGGGACGGAGGGAGTAAAAGAGAATCCACAAAACAACATCATCGGTGCGAATCGCTGTAATGGCTAATGATCCATACATACTCCTTTCGTTCCAGAAAAAACGAATCTATGACTGGATGTGACACATTCTATTGCTACGAATCTGGACATACATTTATCCAGAATCAGATTCGTAGCACTAAAATATGTCATATCCAGTACTAGAATGGTTTTTTATGAGACGGAGGGAGTACATGTCTGTCGATACTACAACAAGTTTTCTCTCGGAGCAGCTTTTAATTGGTTCGTGTAATTTCTTGTCAATTACTCCTTTCCTTTCAGGCTGTCAATTACTCCCTCCGTTTTAGGTTATAAGACGTTTTGACTTTGGTCAAAGTCAAACTGTTTCAAGTTTGACTAAGTTTATAGACAAATATAGTACTAAGTTAGTTTCATCAAGTCAATAATTGAATATATTTTCATAATAAATTTGTTATGTGTTAAAAATGTTACTACTTTTTTCTACAAACTTAGTCAAACTTAAAGTAGTTTGACTTTAACCAAAGTAAAAACATCTAATAACCTAAAATGGAGGGAGTAACTTTTGTCCCAAAGAACCGAACTGCCAATGGAATGGCAGAAAGGAAAACAGGGGGCGAAAAATGTACTATGTGATTAGGGCGTTCACGGTGGACTTACGTGACGTTCAGCCTCGCCCTCCCTAGTCTGCAAAGGAAAAAGCACACGCCACGTTTGCTTCTGGGCCCAAAAAAAAGTTTTTGTGTCCAAAGTTTGCCACCGGGTTCTTGGAAGAAGCTACTCATTTGTGTGGAGAGAAGCTAATAGTACTAGTACTCATTTGGGTGAGAAGAAAAAGGAGAGAGATAAAAAGTAAAAAGTTTGTCACCGGTGAGACCCACTACTAGTATTTGCACTGTGAAGTATGAAGCTTACGAGGTTCTTTATCTACGTGGCATACGAGCAATGGCAAAAATCGGTGACACACTGTGATTGCCCTTAGATAGGAAACTGGGTGTGGAATCGGCAGCGTACTGACTGCCAAGTCCACGACGTCGGTCGTACTGGTTTGATTCCACGAGGCGGCCGACTGGGTCAGTCCACAATAATCGTGTATAATACTATCGTGTACCGCTAAAGAGACGCGATCACGCGAACGAAGAATGACTTGTCCCGATTCCAGGTGCGAAATCGATTTCCTGATATATTTTTTTTCTCTCGCTGGTTGTCGTTCATGGTTTCATCGGAGCTGTTGAACGCGTAATCGATGGAACGGAATGCCATCCGATCCATCCAAGCCAGCCTGCTGCGGACTTGCCGTGTTTTGTCACCGTGGAATGGTGGACTCCAAGGCGATGGATCCATCGTGCAGCCGTGCATGAGGTGATCACTGCATCTTTTGGCTTATGCCTATACTCGCCAGCCAAATTTAAAATTTTTAATCTTAAATTTAAAGTTGATTTTAAGAGTTTTTTTATTAAAGTTTATTTTTCAGTCTTTACTTATAGATTGATAAGAACACATATATAGAAGTTTTGATAAGAACACATATATAGAAGTTTCATTTCAGGTCTCCAAGTCGACAACGGTTAGATGTGTTATTCCAAATATTGTACTAGTGTGATTATGATGAATAAGAGCAACACCGGCTTCAGCCAACAGAAGTAACGCTATTACCTATCAGATAAGAGGCCTGAATCTGTATAAAAATCATTGTCTCCGTCTCTTTTACTTCAATCTCGTATATACCCTGGTAACAACGATCCCTACAGTATGCAAAATATCGTAGTTACGATCTCAAACATCGGCAATAATTATTAATGTTTTAGACAAAGATATAGTTTTCAAAATATGTCTTTCACTATACCTAAATGTGTGTTTATTTTTATTATAATACTGTATTTGTCTTTAAACTGAATATTTTTAAGTTATAAAAATTTAAATTAAACCTTATCTAAATCATTAAAAATTATGAAACCAGAGGAGGGAGTAGCTCGTTAACTCCTAGCCAAGTAAGACTTTTACTGCTGTTAAGGTTAGGACAAGGAGAGTCGCTCATTATCCACTCTAGAGTTGTGCAGAAAAAGACCGAACTGAAAAGACTGAGATTGAGACCGAGAAATTGGGTGAAATACCAAATTTTGTTCGGTCAATTTGGTTAGTCTCCTTAAGTGAATAGACGAAAAAACCGAATTAACAAAATATGTCTAAATGCAACCTACAATCCACTAAGTTCAATAGGATTAAACTCTAATTTTCATATCCATACTTCTTCTAGGCATGCAACATAATAAAAGTCTTTACTCATACGTGCTTACGGTTTTTTTATTTTTATTTTTGTGTTGAAAATTTCCATTATTTCTTTGCATATATAAAAACGTTGTTAAATTTCGGTCAGAACCGAGACCGAGATTGAATTTATCGGTCCTGATATTTTTACATTGAATCAAAATGACCGAAAAACCGACACCGAATACCCACCCTGTTCCACCCTTTCCATTATGCATCCAACGGTGATGTGCTAAACTTGCAGTCACTGTGGGGATTTTCCTTCTTTTTTTCAGCCAATCACAGTGGAGTTTCCCGTTTCACCACCAACCTTCGTCTCCGCCGCCTCCGCCTCTCTCCTTCCCCCTCGTTCTCCGCTTCCACCCAAACCAAACCCAAACCCAACTTGCGAAACCCCAACGAATCCCCCCCAAAACACCCACCCAGTCAAACACTCCCCAACTCCGATCCCCACCCCCATGGCGTCGGAGATCGAGGTGCTCGAGGACACCACCACCACGATGGCCGCCTCCGCCGCCCCCGTGGCGCCCGCGTCCCCATCCCCATCCCCCGCCGCCGCTGCCGACGGCGAGGAGGGGGAGGGGCCGGCCCCTGCGGCGGAGGACGACTCGCTGAAGAACGACGTGTACACGGCGGCGGCGTACGGCGATCTGGAGAAGCTGCAGCGGCTAGTGGAGGGGGAGGGCCACCCGGTCACGGAGCCCGACGGCCTCGGCTACCACGCGCTCCAGTGGGCCGCCCTCAACAACCGCGTCGCCGCCGCGCAGTACATCCTCGAGGTTTTCCCCCCTCCTGCTTCCCGCCCGAGCGTCTCGCGATTTGGCTGGCCTTCGTGTAGTCGTTGTTTGCTAGCTAGCGAGGGATTTGGGTGGGGGTTTGGTAGGATGCGTCATCAACCAATGCACTTTATGAGCCGCAATTTTATATGTTTTTGAACCGTGGACTGTTTGTTGTTATACTGTGTTGGCTAGGTGTATTCACTTTTAGCTCATTGGCTGGTGTTTTGGATACCAAATTACCAGTGCCTGTGGTTGAATTACTCCAGGTTTGTGAACAATTTTGTTGGTGGCCAACTGCATTAGGTGAATATGGAGGGTTTGGGACTGCTGCAAGCTGTTATAGCTGGAAATTGATGTGCTTTTAGTAGGTTTCGGATGTTTATATGACCTGGAGATGATGCCAGTTTTTCAGTATCTCATTTTGTATGTTGTAGGCTTGAATAGAAATGGAACTAGTGAGACTGTGCTTTGGTTTATCCCTGAATTTTCATATGGATGTATGTTTATTTTTTCCATTGGATCATTGAGAATGTGGACATGCTTACTGCTGGATAAAGCAGATGAGAATTCAGCTGGCCTGTGCAGCGCCCTTGAGGTGTTTCCGTTTAAGTCTTCTTTTCCTTTTAATCTTAAGATCATGAGTGTATGGTAGGCTCAGTATAGTCTGAATAAGAAAGGTTACTAATTGTGTGCCTACTAAGTGCATGAATAAACTCGCACATAACATGCATACTTTGATGGTACCAGGAATTTATCTTGATTGTGGTATGTAGTCAGAGTATGTTATTCTCTGCATGTAGACGAAGTATCACTATGCTATTCAGTGAGCGCATTCTGCACATATAATTTTGTTTGACCGGACTATGATTTTGTGCTTGGTCTTTGAACAGCATGGAGCAGATGTAAATGCTGTGGACCACACTGGGCAAACAGCACTTCACTGGAGTGCTGTACGTGGACACATCCAAGTTGCTGAGCTTCTTCTGAAAGAAGGAGCTAAGGTGGATGTTGCTGATTTATACGGTTATCAGGTCTGAATTTGACTTCCCTTCTGTATTTTGGTCCCTGTTTTCCTGGTTTGTTGCTTTGGTTGTCCAATGTTGGTTCATGATTCTGAAAGACAACTAAGTATTGTTGGATATTTGTTTGCCAAGTTAACTGTTGTATCCACACTAGGGGATCAGGGATTTCCAGTATATAAATAAATAAATAAATAAATAAATAAATTTAACCTATGAATTCTCTAGGTAAAATGAAAAGCAAGAATCAACAACTTTTGTCTATGGCAGTGAATTTGTTAAAAACTCTATACTGCTGTTTGCAGGCAACACATGTTGCAGCGCAGTATGGCCAGACAGCATTTATTTATCATATTGTTGCGAAGTGGAATGCTGATCCAGATGTCCCTGATAATGATGGAAGAAGCCCACTGCACTGGTTTGTACCTTGTTCTCTACATTTATCATTATCTTATGTTGCACTGGAGTAGTAGTTTCTACCAGTGCACTTAGTAATGCATGTCCCCATAAACCTTCAGTGCCCCTTATATTTCTTTCTCTCTCTCTCTGTTTTTTTTTGGCATATTACCTTGTAGGGCTGCTTACAAGGGATTTGCGGATTCTATACGTCTCCTTTTGTATTTGGATGCTTATAGGGGGCGGCAGGATAAAGAAGGCATGTGCTAAATTTATCTATTTCCATTATTACCTGTACTGCTGTGCACATAACAGTGTAAACCAATGGCTTAGCCATATCTCCAATTATATCAGTACACTTCAGAGCATGAGATTTACTTCTTTACTACAATGCTGCCCCTAGGTTGTACCCCTTTACATTGGGCTGCTATTAGGGGGAACCTGGAGGCATGCACTGTGCTAGTTCAGGCTGGCAAAAAGGATGACTTGATGGTGAAGGATAAGACTGGTCTAACTCCAGCACAGCTTGCTGCTGATAAGAGTCATCGGCAAGTTGCATTTTTTCTTGTAAGTAACATGAACCATGGCATTTCTGTTTTTGTATTATAGCCATTCTTTTGTAGAGCCCAATGCATTAAGCCATTAACAGTTCATCTACTAGAGATTCTGCCAAGTTACTTAATATGATTTGCGTAATGATGTTTACTAATAGGAAACATTTTTCTTCATCATTTTAGGTTTTATATTCCTTCTGACTTATAAATTCTTTAGAGCTGAGTTTCATGTCTCCATGATGAGGTGTTATTGGTGTAATTCACTGATTATGCATAATTGCATACATAAGCTTTCTGAACTTTGTAGTTTCCCTGTAGATTCAGTACAAGAAGCTGCAAAATTCTATGACTTCTACACATGGAAATGATATTATTGACCAGAAATGTCATAAACTAGCATAAGACATAAAACTATGTAACCAAGGAGGCAAAATGCTACTCTTTGTTGTGACTTTGCTGATGCTTATATGCTCTTATATATTTTTATTATAGATTCGTTGTGAGTTTGGGAACCGAAATGATTTCCTGACTTTTTGTGATTGCACATGTAGATTAATATCCTTTTCACTAATTCATTATTGTTAATCTAGCTAATGTCATAAGAGTGGTCATATTGACCTTGAGGTGAAAGAATATTACTGGTATTTCAAGAGAGAATCTACTGGAAGATGATCCTTTTGATGATGCTTGTTTATTTAGACAGAAACAAGACTTGATTTGATGATTGCTTGCAGGACAATGCTAAAAGGGTATATGATAGAGGATGTGATGGGAATACCAATTTTGGAAAGCTATCGAAACTGGGGCTAGCTCCTGTACTTTGGTGTATTATTGTTGGCTTGCTTGCTACATATATACACTCTGTTATATCAGGTAAGTACCATTTCCAATGTCGCTCACTCCATTTGATCTCCCACGATGCAGTATTTACTACATTTCATTCTTTCAGGTCAATATATCATGGATATGACAGCACCATTTGGGCTGTTTGCATGGTCAGGAGTTTTCCTTGCAACTGCTGGCCTAGTCATGTTCTATAAATGTAGCAGGTACTTACGAAAATGAAGATTAGTTGGCAGTTAGTATTAAAAGTTGAAAACTCAAGATAGCATGGGGACATATTGCCAGCATGTTGATTCTTGTTAGATACTGCTTCACAAATTTCAATATAGTAACACAATTCATTATATATTTTTTCATGTTGACGCATTTTACATCAGCTGACCTGCTTATCAGAAATGTGGTAGATGTTTTACTTATATGGTTATGCCCTTCTGTTCTTGCATTCTTTATCTGTTGAGCATTTTACTGTGTGTAAATAGCCTGCTATTCTTCTGTTACCTACCCCCATGATCGCCAGATGAGATATGCAGCATTTATTGATTATCCTTTAGCTGCATCATGACATTGGCCTATGCTATCTGCAGGAAAGATCCTGGCTACATCAAAGCAAATATACGAGATTCACAAAATCAAAGGGATGATGTAAGTTTGAAATATTAGCTTAGTTAATATAGCTTTCTACAGGCACATTTATCTTCTCTTTGGACTCGTGTGAATCTTGTTTGATTCATTTCCAGACTTAAAGCCAAACAATATATCCAAAATTTCACAATCCTAATCATGAGTATTTATTCCTTTAGGAACCTTTGTTGAAGTTGGAGTTAGACAATCCCGCACTTCTGTCTGGTAACTGGTCACAGCTTTGTATAACATGCAAAGTAAGTACAGCATTGTCGATTAGTTTTCTCTTTGCTAGGTTGATATTTGGGCCTCTGATTCCAAGGGTTATTCTACAGATTGTGAGACCTGTTCGTTCGAAGCATTGTTCTACATGTGATCGCTGTGTTGAGCAGTTTGACCATCACTGTCCTTGGGTATCTAATTGCATTGGCAAGGTACTTACGTTCTTTTGGGTATCACTGTGTTGAGTAGTGATCAAACATGGTTGTCATCTCTTCTGGAGATGAAATGGATAACTTATGTCTTAAAATGCTGAACTTTTAATGCAGAAGATTATGTTGCTATGTATATCTTAAGAAAGTTGCTATAACATTATGAAGAGCTCTGTGCTCTACAATACAATCTCTCTTTTTTGGTAGCTTTTCGTTTGAATGTTTTTCCCTGCCGGATACCTTCTTGTCCTTTGGTCTGATCTATAGTGCACTGTAACTGCAGAAGAACAAATGGGAATTCTTCATGTTCATCACTCTAGAAGTTTTTGCAATGATCATTACTGGTTCTGCTGCCATTATAAGTATTGTCTGCTAAGTCCTTTGTGGTTCTGTCCTTAATAATTTGGAGTGAAAAAAAATTTCCATAAGCCTCAATGCTGTTTTTGTCACAGGGATGGTAAGAGATCCGGCTTCTCCAGCATCCTTTATTCCTTGGCTCAGCTATTCTGCTTTTAACCATACTGGGGCACTTTCCTTTTTCATAATGGACCTCTTCCTTTTCTTCGGTGTTGCAGTTCTAGCAGTAGTCCAGGCATCTCAGGTATGTAAAGGTTGAATTTAGCTTGCTACTTGATCTTTTTTTTTCTCATGAGAAACCAACCTATTTTTGACCTGATAATGAAAAAAACCAGGAAGCATGTTTATTGTCTTTACAACCATCAGTAAATGTTCTGTAATACAAAGTTTCATATAGAAACTTCTCTGCTGATTTTATGAGGGTTTGCCCCAGAAATTTATGAAGCCTTGCTGGATTTGTCAAATGAACATGTCATAATTATATAGTTCATGTGTGTATCCCCTATAAAGTTTGGATACAGTAGAAGTAACATTGAATTTTAGGCAATGAAATTGCTGTGATACATAATTCAGTAGCAAAACTGATATTCCAATTACAAGATAGAGTTGAAGTCAGTAGATGCCAGGTATTATCTGGCTTATTTGATCTATTAATTAGTTTTCTGTGATGTTTCTGTATACGACAGATCTTTCCATCTGGTAGCTATAACTTTTTCAGAATGGACACGAGGACTTGAGGAGCATTTTTTCTGTTCTGTTTTATGACGTGTTCATGCCTTACTTCCATCTCCCATGCAGATAGCGAAGAACATTACAACAAACGAGATGGCAAATTCCATGAGATACAGTTATCTAAGAGGTCCAGGTGGAAGATTCAGAAACCCATTTGACCATGGAGCGCGCAAGAACTGCTCAGAATTCTTGTTAAATGGATACAATGAGGACATTGAACGTCTTGATCATACGTCACACACTGATGAGGAAATGGGAATGATACAGATGACAAACGCAGTCTCTCAGAATGGCGAGGGCCCTTCCCACCATGGTAACGGCACTGGCCATTCTTGTGCTGAATCACATGCTCACTCAAAATCTCACAGTCAAGTAAGTTCATCTCAGTGTTGTGACCACAGTAAGAAGACCGATAGAACACCATTGGGCCTAGGGCTGGGCCTTGGACGAAACAGTGCTTCCCGGCAGTATGTCCGGTCTCTTCTCCCATTGTGATTTGTTATATGCAGATCATGTGTGTGCTCTCTGTAGATTGTATGTGTTCATGCTGAGGCTCCATTATTTATTTAGCTGCTTGTGACATACCACATAGGTTTCGCTAGCTTACGTTAATATTGTTGGGGTGCTAGCTGTGTGAAAATTCAGATCTATTAGATCCAGTATTTTTTGTGGTGAATACATAGGAGATGAAGGTAGCAAGGTGCTCATGAATATCCGCTGATCCGCAGTTCAGAAATGTCTTGTCGCTCCTGAAAAGAGGGCAACAATTTTGTGCAGATGCAGCAGCATGAAACATCTTCATTGCTGTGTCCCTTGGTGTCAATATAACTCCAGCATTTTAGCTTCTGGATCTTACATCTGTGGGAAAATGTAGTTGTAAACTAAGATAATTGTAAATTTATTAGCAAATTCTGAATTTAGATACTCTTGTTGTGATCTATAGCTGTACTGACAGTCCAGAAAGTTGTAATAACAAAACAAATATCTGAACTCTTGACGTGTTATGAACTCTCGTAGGACCTACGAATGGATGATGCATCCGTTCGAAAATATAGGTACTTGTGCATGGTTTTTAAATGTATACGGACGATATGCATATTTTTGGAACAGAGAGAGTAATAGTTTTTTTTTTCCAGTTATTCCCCATTTAACGTATCTGGCACTGGCAGTACGACATTGCTTGCAGCTTGTATCTGAGTATCTCGAGTTAATCACTTTTTAGCCCATGAACATTCAGTTCAGGAGTGAGGAGTATGGTACCTCATGATTTTTAAGAGAAGGATGGCCTTGTCGGCTTGTCCCCACCAGTGGATGGCTGGCTGTGGCCGGAGAGGACCAAAGAAGTTTGCAACTCTTCCCTGCTTCCATGTTACCGACACTTATAAATAAATTCTTAAATTTAAAATACACAAGAATTTCAAGTTCATGCAGAATTTTCCCTGTATTGAAAACTGAAATATCTCTGCCTATCTAATCTAAAACTGAAAAACAAATAAAAAGAAAGAAACTTTAGAACTCGCAACTTGGGCTCGGTCCAGCTCCAGCCTCCAGGACCCAGATGCCCTCGTGGTCCAGATCACCCGGCCCGGCCCATCCTACCTCATCATCACGCAACGCAACAACACTGACCTACCCAGACAGCGTCCACCCTTCCTTCTCCCGCCGCCGCTCCAAAACCCCCACCTCTAAAACCCTCGCCGGCGGCGCACCCCCACCCAAGCTGAGCGGCCAAACCCTCGACAAGCATCGTCAGCAGCAGCAGCCGCCGGAGAAGTAACCGCCGCCGCCGCGGTGGGAGAGAGAGAGAGAGGGAGATGGGGATCTTCGAGCCGTTCCGCGCCATCGGGTACATCACGGCCGGCGGCGTGCCCTTCTCCGTGCAGCGCCTCGGCACCGAGACCTTCGTCGCCGTCAGCGTCGGCAAGGCCTTCCACGTCTACAACGTGAGCTGCTTTCTCCCCGCTCGTCTCCCACCCCCACGCCGCCCTACCACCGTCCACCCTTGGCCTTGTGTGCTCGCGTCTCAAATCGGAGTAGCTTACGGGGAGCTTGGTGGAGCGAGTTGATCTGGTACAAGTTAGAACGCGTGATTTGAGATGCTTTGGAGCGGTGATTGTGTATTTAAGTCATGGTTCGAGCTCAGGGGCTAGTTACTGATTGTGGTATTAGCTCAATGCGATTTGCTCACTACTACCTCGATTCAATCGAGCTGCTTCATTGTACATATGAGCTTTAACGCTAGCCTCTCTCACCTTGCATAGTTTTCTGATGTAGCTAACTCATTTTTAGAAACTAACTGGACTTATTTCTTGTTTTGCAGTGTGCTAAACTGAATTTGGTCCTTTCTGGTAAGTCTGTTTTTTTTTTTGGGCTATGTGAAGATTCTTCATGTATAGCTTTTTTCCTTATGGTTTTATGTGATCGAAGGACCTCAATTGCCCAAGAAGATCCGTGCTCTTGCATCGTACAAGGATTATACATTTGCTGCGTATGGAAGTGATATCGCTGTTTTCAAACGAACTGATCAGGTGAGGGCGTTACTGTGCTTGCAATAGCAGATCTTGCATTATCGTGTTAGTTACTACTAGTACTAGTTACTTGTTTAGGCGATTGAGGCAACCATTCATATTATTACTGGTAAAAGCAGGGGCTTGGTGTTCTTATCTAAATATTATTACTGGTTCACTTGAGGTTGCTACATTTTGGAGATAGTCAGATAATGTGCTCCTATAATATTTGAAACTGGAAATTTGAATAGTTTCTGAATGAAATGGTTCTTTCAAACTCCCAAAAAGGATATCCAAATGCTACATTTTATGCCCATCAACTGCTACAGGATTCCTCTCAATCAGACAATTCTTTTTTATGTTCTAACTGGATCTCTTTCAATCAGGTGGTTACTTGGAGCAAACATGAAGAAAAGATCAATATATTATACCCATTTGGAGAATACATTCTAAGTGCAGATATTAAGGGGAATGTATTTATATGGTCCTTCAGAGGATCAGAGCCAAATAGTGAGCCTGTTGGGAACATATCATTGGGAGACAAGTTTACACCAACTTGCATTATGCATCCTGATACTTATCTAAATAAGGCAAGTGGAGTTTCCTTTGCTTTGGAGATAGTTTAGAGGTCAAATTTATTGTGCATTCAATTCCATTTCTGGTAATAAATCTAATCTGGTCTTACGTTAGGTCATCATTGGAAGCGAAGAGGGTCCCTTGCAGCTTTGGAATATCAGCACTAAGAAGAAACTTTATGAGTTTAAGGGTTGGAACTCATCAGTATGTTGTTGTGTTTCTTCACCTGCCCTTGATGTTGTTGCAGTCGGATGTTCTGATGGAACAATTCATGTTCATAATATACGATATGATGAAGAGTTGATGTCTTTCAATCATCAAATTCGTGGTGCTGTGACTGCATTGTCATTTCGAACAGGTGTTTTGATCGACTTGTTGTAAATTAGAACCTTTATTAACATTTTTCACCAGATTATTACAAGAATGGAAATGTCCAATCAAAATCCTGATATATTCATTTTTCCTTGCCTGTCGGTTTAGTCCTGTAATCTGTTCTTGACTGTGAATACTCAAATGACTTGTTAGAAAGCTTGTCATATTAAGATGGGACTGGCAGTTTTGGCACCACCTAATAATTATATGTTAGATTCAGTTCAGGAAATGCTGCTGTTGCATTTTTTTTCTATGATACAGATTTCATACATGAGCTGAAGTGTTTCATATATTCTTTTACCAGATGGGCAACCTCTTCTGGCCTCTGGAGGATCGTCAGGTGTTATTAGTATATGGAATCTTGAGAAAAGGCGCCTTCATTCTGTTATCCGGGAGGCCCATGATGCTTCTATAGTTTCACTTCATTTTTTCGCGAATGAGCCTATTTTGATGAGCTCGGCTTCTGATAATTCAATAAAGGTAAGTGTCAAGCTTAAAAGCTGTTGTACAGAAACATGCAAAGGTCCAAAGCTGCATGCAGCTAGTACTTAACCAGATGTGGGGCATCAACTGTACACTTAGTAGCGGTGAGAATGATTCAGCGCATTAAAATCGTGCCTTTGTGCTGCACCAACCAGTTGTACTCTCCTGAATGTCTATGGTATTTCAGTGTTAGCCTTTTATTAGTGAGGTATTCCAGGATCCTCACTAGAAACAAACTAGCCAGGAAAGATGAAATTTATACTGGTCTGGAATTGGCATTACCATGTCAAATAAAGTTTTATCAGCTGCAAAACGTTATATCAGTTTATCTTGATAGTCCAGTAATCTAATATGCTGTTTACCAGATGTGGATATTTGATACTAATGATGGAGATGCTCGTTTGTTACGATTTCGAAGTGGCCATAGTGCTCCACCACGGTGCATTAGGTGACAAGTGTTTCAATCATGTCTTGCTTTTTTTAAAAAAAATCAGTTGGATATTTTATTAGTAGTAACCATACTTCTGTCGATAGATTCTACGGCAATGGAAAATGCATCTTATCTGCTGGTCAAGATCGTGCCTTTCGCCTTTTTTCAGTTGTCCAGGTAACTCACTGTCTTTAACTTTTATATGAAGCACATCTCCTACTTTCGAGGAACTTATTAGGAACATGGCAGTGATACATCATGATTAACATTCTAGGTGTACGTTTTTACATCAATTAGGATGCTGAGTCTGTTATTTGTCATTTCTTCAATACTCTCTGGTCTAATAAAACTGTATAATGGTTCTATTCTGATCAACCATGCTAAGGCATGTGACCTTTTATAAGTTTATTCATGTTTTAGGCATACTATTGTTTCAGCGGACTTACACCTTTATAACTATTATTTTATTATTAACTGGTCTGCTCCCATTTTCTTCTAAAAAAATTGAATTTATCCTAGCCTGCATTAGTAAGGTGGATATTTCTGTGTGACAACAATATGAGCATAGCAGTGAGAGCATAAATGAAACTTCAATTCCTATCACTTCCGACATTCTTCCTTGTTTTTCTTTCTGTTGAGGTGTTGAGTGAACTATGGAAATACTATTCATCAGATGCGTTTGGTTTTCGCTGAATCCTGCATGTTTACGTTCTTATCAGGATGCCTTGCCTCTTTGAGAAAAAGGAAACGTTAGCTTAGCTCACTATTTAATTCTATTGACACAACTATTTGTTGACAGGATCAACAAAGCAGAGAACTTTCTCAAAGACATGTGTCAAAAAGGGCAAAAAAGCTTGGATTAAAGGTATGGATTTGATTACTACATTTATTCCCTACCTATTTGTTTTTCCTTCTCTAAGATGTTAAAACTTCTCTGTCATGCAGGAGGAAGAGATCAAGCTGAAACCAGTTATTGCATTTGATTGTGGTACTCTTTTGGTCTTTGCAATACTTCTGTTGCTTTTACTAATGACATATATAGGGATACTGTTCTTCCACTTCTGTTTTTCTGAATAAATACAAGTCACTGGCAGTAATGATACTGTTTTCTATTTTTATGCTACCAATAAATATTCTACCAGTACTATGGCCATTGAAAGTAGCATCAGACAGGGAAGTGCACCCTTTTTTCTCCTTGGTAGAGAAATTGCTTGTATTCCAATGGAAACAACTACATTCTGGAAATTATAAACATGCCATTACAAAGGAGCACATGTGGAGAGCAGCGGCAACAGAAATAAGAGTTGAAGAAGTGGATAAACTTTTGTAGTAAGATGTAGGATGCCTATTGTACAACAGACGACCCCCATTTCATAGTGCAGTTTCTTTTAGTTCTTCAGAACTATCTGATTTTACTGCTGCTATGACCTTTGTCAAAGTCAATGAAAGTGTGACCTCTGAAGATTTTCCAATTGGGGCCTTTTAATATTGCCTGTCAGTATTCATAATCTATTAGGACATTGCAATGTGAATATTTTAATAAATGCTTTTTATGTTTGTGGAATGAAAATGGCACCCAGAAACTATGTCCTCCAACATCTTTGATCTGGTCATTTGCTTAGCGCTTGTGTAACAAAGTGTTTCATTATGTTTGGCAGCTGTGCATTGTAAACTAGTTGCTGATTTGCACCCTTTTCTTTTTATATTTTTGCCTGTATGAAAAAAAAAACTATAACTTAAGCTGAGAAACCTTCTGCTTCTGTTATCAGCTGAGATACGCTCACGTGATTGGTGTAACGTTGTTACCTGCCATACGGATACTCCACAAGCGTATGTATGGCGTCTACAGAACTTTGTCATTGGGGAGCATATTCTGACACCGTCATCAGGCAGCAAGTCACCAATTAAGGTAATGCATGTTTTCTTAAATTGCATGTATGGAATTTTCATTTTAGACTAGATCAATGTGACCTTTCTTTGAATTAGCTTTCACAAGTTGGAGTTTACAAGTGTTCCATTATTTTGTTTTTTAATCTTTTTCTGACAGGCTTGTGCAATAAGTGCATGTGGAAATTTTACTTTCTTGGGCACTGAAGGTGGCTGGATCGAAAAATTTAACCTGCAATCGGGGATTAGTCGTGGCAGTTATATTGATACATCGTTGGCAATTAAGCGTGCACATGACGGAGAAGTTGTTGGATTAGCGTGTGATGCTACAAATGGCTCTCTTATTAGTGCTGGATACGGTGGTGATATTAAGGTTCCATGCTCTCTTGCTTTTTAATTCTATTGTAAATCCTGTGGCATGCTAAGTAATTATACAAACTACAAACAGCCTTTTACTGCACATTTTACAGAGTGGTGTTGTGCACTTTGTTTCATCTTTATGTCCTCAGCTGGGTAATTTGATTCTTAATGCTGATCTTCTAGTCCTACCATAAGGAATTGCATATTGCTGCAAACACCAGCTATTTGTCTGCATATGTTTGAACTTATCTTTACAAGTATAATGTGAACTTTTATCCATGACAATATTACTTACCTATAGGATTGTCCCCTCTTGCAGGTTTGGGATTTTAAAAGTTGCAAGCTAAAATCCAGACTGGATATTGGTAAATCTGTCACCAAGATTGCATACCACCGGGCAAATGGTAGTATTTAACATATTTGATTATTCTCGTGTATAATTCTATGCCCAATTAACAGTCTTATGCTATTTTATGTCAGGTCTTCTTGCTACTGTAGCAGATGATATGGTGCTTATATTGTTTGATACAGTAGCAATGAAAATGGTCCGTAGATTCGAAGGCCATACGGACCGTGTTACTGATTTGTGTTTCAGTGAGGATGGAAAATGGCTCATCTCATCGAGTATGGATGGGACTCTTAGAATATGGGATATCAGTTTAGCAAGGCAGATTGATGCAATGCATGTCGATGTATCTATAACATCTCTCTCTATGTCTCCTAATATGGATGTGTTGGCAACCACCCATGTTGATCAAAATGGTGTCTATCTTTGGTAAGCTTCTTTTGCATTTACTTGTGCTCACCATGTTCGTTTTGTAGACCTTTTATGCAGATCTAAGTTAATTTTGGAGATATCATTTAGCAAAATATTAGATAAGCTTTCCATCTGTTATTACTCCCGCAAAATCATGACATGGCTCATTTGGCAAATAAACAATTTTATCTGTCCATCCTGTAGTTGATGACATGGTACTGAAATTATGTACCATCAGTTGCAAGTAAACAATCAAACCACCTCAGAGTACAAAAGAGGATGAGGTTCATCCTGGAAGATCTACCTTTGTTTTTGAAATATTATCAGCACAGCGTTGAGAAAATTTGCTCTCGTAAGTCAGTCTCCAGTGTGCTGGTTTTTTAGCACATCATGTGGGGCCAACTTAACCAATTGCACATTGTTTTCCAACAAAGTACTTTCTTCCCAATGGTGTCTTCCCATTCTTGTTTTTGCCACTAACAAACCACCTCAGTATTGACATCCCATCAAATTCTGTCTGCGTGTCTGTTCAGAGCCTTCAAGTACCATTCTACCATCCCCATCAAGTTCTGTCTGTTCAGAGCCTCCAAAGTGCCATTCTACCCCTTGTCTTATTCCCTTCCTCAAGTACCAACCATTGTGCCTCTAGTGGCAGCCCCTTCCTGTCACCTCCGGTCCTCAGCAGCTAGCATGCCATAGCTGGTCAAAACCCCTTGTCCAGATGGGGTGGGGTGAAAATGGCAAAGCGAGAAGTTCCCAAATGGACCAATGGAAAAAAGTGGCACAGTTGATAACTGGACTTCTCTTAGTGGCATAATTTCTCGTAATATTCACTTGAAAATACGTTGGCCTGCTTGAATGTCGGCACTGTGGTTAGAACCACTTGAATGTGGTAGCTTATAGCTGTTCCCTTCTACTCCATAATATTATACTATTATGAATAACATATATAGTATGCAGTGTTCTGTATTTTATTCTTTCTGATATACAATCCGCTGTGTTTCTTTCTAATTTTGACAGGGTTAATCAAGCTTTGTTCTCACCATCAACAAATGTTGATAATTATTCAAGTGGTAAACATGTCAGAAATGTGCGTTTGCCCACTGTTTCATCAACAGAAAAATCTGAGGAAGAGCCCATTCATAGTTCAGAAGATTCAAAAGAAAGTAAAGTTAAACCTTATGTTATAATGGATCACCAAATACCAAATATGATCACCCTCTCTTTGCTTCCCAAGAGTCAATGGCAAAGTCTGGCGAATCTTGACATTATAAAGGTATACTTTTTTACATTGCAAGTGACAATTGTGTAACCTGCATCACTATGCTACTTTGAATTATAATGTTTTTTTTTGTTTAAAGGAACAACTAAATAAGTTCTCATCATATTTCTGCGTCTTCAGGTTCGGAATAAACCAATTGAGCCACCAAAGAAACCTGAGAAGGCGCCTTTTTTCTTGCCCACAGTTCCATCCCTTTCGGGGGAGATATTATTTGAGCCTGCGGCGAACAGTAAAGAAACAGACAGCAGTACTGAGGACACAAGTCACAAAAAAATGGCTGACCTCTCCTCTCACTTTAGTCGGCTGTTACAATCCTGTGGAGATACAAAGAATTGTGAGTGTTTATAGGCATATTTGCTCAAGTTTACCTTATTTCATGGTTTAGCTCATTGATTAGACTACAAGGAGATGCTGTCCATACTGTTGCTTCACATACTTCACTTGCTGCTTCTATTAAGTCGTTATGTAGTGCCATATTTTGCCGACAGAAGCATGGTCAAAACCGGGAGATATTTGTTAGTGTTGTGGCCTGTGCTGCTGATGCTTGTCATGGTTGAGATGCTGACTCTTGATCTGTTTTACAGATTCGGCATTTACTGACTACCTAAAAGGCTTATCACCATCATCTTTAGATATGGAACTACGAGTGCTACAGTTAATCGATGATGAGCCACAAAATTTGGAGCAGAGACCTGAACTTCAATCCATTTCATTGCTGTTGGACTACTTCATACATGAGCTTTCCTGCAGGAATAACTTTGAGTTTGTTCAGGCTGTTCTCAAATTGTTTTTGAAGGTATACACTGTTATATATTGTTCACTCTGTTCTGTTATTTTTGTAAAAGAATAAAAAAACTCTGTTATGAAAATTTCTCACAGGGTATATATGGTATGTATTTTTTTTCCTAAACTTGATTTTTGCCTTTCCTGGAAGCAGATACATGGTGAAACGATACGGCGTCACTCAATGCTTCAGGACAAAGTGAAGAAGCTTCTAGATGTCCAGAGCTTAGTTTGGCAGAAGATAGACAAAGTGTTTCAGAGTGCACGATGCATGGTTACATTCCTCAGCAACTCACAGTTTTAGTAGCAGGTGATTTCTTTTTCATTTGATATGCCAAATGGTTTCGTCTCTTTCACCGATACTGCTTGTTTTGATCTTTGCTTTTGCCAAAAGATTTACTATTTTGTATTAATTAGTTGGTGCTAAAATATTTTCAGATACCGGCCTGCCAGCATTATGTTTATCTAGTAGTAGCGAAAGGCGGTTTCTTCTGCAGTTTATCTTCCATAACTCGATTATTTCCTTGTCACTCGCAGGTTGGTGTGGGGCTTCTTTGTGGCTGCTGTACCATTCTCTTCTGTCTTACCATACCGTCTGTCATGGACTCAGGGATTCAGGGTAAAGCTACAAGGCGTCTGCGTGCTGTTAACAACGATATGCACCAGCAGTACTTCAGGATCATGAGACAACAATTTTGTAGTTCTGTTATTTATTGTTGCATTCTTTTGTAACATATTGAATTACTGATGTATCGACACCGTTTTGCAACAAAAAAGAAAAGGAATGTCATGATTGATATTTTAATTTTTGGTGGGTGCTATAGCATTCAGCAAAACTATCGTGACAGACTTTTGATTTCTCGAGAACAATGGCGATGGCCCTGATAGGATCTCTCTATTCTCTAACCTACATGATGCTCAGTTTTCGTATCCATACAACTAATTTGGAGAGATCTCAAGAGTACAATATTTCGGACATTTCGGTCGACGCTTCGTTGTTTACTTTGGTTATTAAGAGGGCTTGTACTTCCAAAAAAAACATAAAAATGTGTGCAACTCAGCATTTATCTTAGGTTATGGGGGAGAATTTCATTACATTCAAGCGACTGCAAATTAAACCAGTAATTTTCTGGCCTACGGTTTCAACGGTGAAAATGATCTCCAGGCTCTATACTCCACTACTCCCGAACATTTATGAAAAACGCCTGAAAACTCAAGTGCCAAACATATCGTTTCTTTTCTTTTCATGTAGTAGACAGGCAACAACCTCGCAGTACAACACAACCAGCTTCTTATCATCTTGTGCTGCCTTACCAATAAATGCAAATACATCAAAGAATCTGTCAATCTAGTCCAAGCTCCCAAAAACAAAAACCTTCAAGAAATGCTCCTGCACCTCTAAAGGTAAACAAAATGTATCTGAGCTTTGCTCAAGTAGTACCTCTGCTGTCTTCTGTATCTGACCATGCTAATACAGTCTGTATGACTGCCATGGCAATGCACTAACCCTACTAAATTGTTCATCATGATAGATCATGCAGACTTGCTCCTCAGGCTGTATACATTTCCAATTACTCCAATAATGCTAACAACCATGGCCAAACCAAGCATCACAATTGACAGGAGCCTCTCACCCTTACCTAAAGACTTGCCTTCCTTGTCCAATCTCAATGCAATAAGGGCCGGGAAAATGAACCCCAGTGCCAACCCCGTCGTCGCACCGGTGAACTTGAAGGCCACCCAGATGTTTGGTATCATCGTCGAGCCAAGATAGATGAGTGCCAAGAGCACCACTGTCAAGGTGAGCATCTTTTTCCTGCTATGGGGCGCTAACTCGCCAAAGATCAACGAGTCCACCGTCTGCCTAAGCGAGAAGTGGACAACCGGGAAGACGAGAACCAGATGGATGACATACCCAATCCTGACAATGAAGTTGAGGATTGAGCTGAATCTGATCCCGAGATCCTTGTCAAAGTTGGTGAGCACATCAGATTCAGTGTCTTCGCCGAACAAGAGGTACCCTGAGACCGCAGTCAGTGCATATACCACAACACATAGCACAGTGGTGATCCTCCCAATCTTGTACATGTTGTGAGGTGTCTTCTCCTTGAGCTCATTGTAGATTGGCTGAACATTGAAATGGCAGATGTAGGCGTTCGTCATGATCGGTATCACGACGAGCAAATCCAGCATTGCTGCCCTCGAGCTAAAATCCGGCCCCATCCTCGGCATACTGATCTTACCCTCAACAACCTTCACCAGCGCAATGATGCATGACACAACCACAAACACGACAGCAAGCGCGACCGATGCAGCAGACGACAAGCTCAACGAATCGATCTTCTCGAGCGCGCACAACGGGGAGAGAAAGATCACAAGAACCACCAAGATCAGCAGCCTCCGGTTATCCCACTCGCCATGCCCGATCAACTGATCCATGACACCAATGTGCTTCAGTGACCCTGACATCACATCTCCGATGATGATGAGGTACACGATGAGCACGCCGGCATTGTTGATGATGACGCACATCTGCGCCACGATGCTCGCCGGACGGCCGAGCGCCTTGTGCACCACCTCGCCGTAGGACAGCGCGCGGCAGTACACGGCGAACCTCACGAGCAGCTCAATGGTGACCTCGGAGAGGATCCCCATGACCAGGATGGAGACGAGGCCGACGGCGACGCCGAGAACCTTCATGGTGGCCGGGAGGGCCATAATGCCGGCGCCGATGATGGAGGTGGCGAGGTTGAACACCGCGGCGGGCACGCCGGAGCCCTCGGGTGGCCCGGCGGGGCCGTCGCCGATGAGCGGCAGGTCGTCGTTCTCGCCGCCGCCGCCGCCGGCGGCGGCATCGCCGTCGACCAGGAACGAATCTTGCTTGGAGATCTTGGCGTGGCCGTTGTAGCCGACGCCATTGGCGACCTCGGATGTGCGCTGGTTGGATTGGAGCTCGATGGAGGTCAATGGGAGGGACGAGTAATTCGTGTTCATCTTGCTTCTTGGCGCATCAAAGATTGGATCAATCAATCAACAACAAACACGACGAGAAATTCCTCGTCGAATGGACAAAACTGAGCCAAGAAATGGAAAAAAAAATGTATAACCAATCTACAGCTCCAAGAACACAATCTTGCCCCCAAAAACGGAACAAAATTCGACTGCAAACTACATCAGCTGATCAGCCGGTGAGATCTCAGAGGGGCTTGGCACACATTGGTGGCATCTACCACACAAGAAACTCAAATTTTCTTGGGCCAGATTTGGTTGGAGATCGAAACAGAAACAAGAACTGAAATTCGTCCTCCCTCCGAACAAAAATTGGAGGAAAGAGAGGGAGGCGTGTACCTAAGGATTGGGACGAGAGTTGAGAGATTTGAGGCGTTGAAACTGTGGAGAGATCTGGGGTTCTATCTCTCTCTTTATTTTATTTTATTTTCGATTATTTTTTTTCTTCTCCCTCCTCTCTCTCTCTCTCTCTGTTCTTCCTTCTCTCTCATAAAAGTATCCGATAAACTAAAGAGGATAGTCAATTTACGTTAATTCCGAGTACAGTTAGCTCCACCAACCCAGCGATTCAATGTACCCACTAGATTAGCAAATGACATGTGGGCCCATAGGATCGTGGGGTCCACGCAATCAGTGGGTGTGGGTATGTGCTTGAGTAACATTTGGGGATCTGCAACTCGCGCGGTCCGGCCACATGGGAGGCGTGGATACATCCCTTCGATCTGATTGGCCAGCGGTTGCTGGTGGGTCCCACTCAGTGGCTAGTACTGCCTACCGCGTGGCCCACCTGTCTGTCAGCGTGGAATATTCACTACTAGCCCTGAACTGCACGTCCTCAAATTTAGATGGATTTTATATATATCACACAAAATAATTTTATTATTTCCTCCATCCCAAAATATAGCAATTAATATAAAATGGGACACATCAGGCTCGTTCAGTTCTGATTAAGATGCAAGTTTTAGCTCGGTTTTTGTTAGCATGATTTTCAAAATGCTAAGTACTTTAGTACATTTAATGTGAAAATTTGCTTTAGAATATCATATAAAACTATTTTTAATTTAAAATAATTAAAACTCAATTAATCGTGTGCTAATAATTTTTATGTTGGTACTTAATCTTCATCTACATTACAACGAATCTATATGGGTTGTTATATTTTAGGGTAGATGGAGTAATTCAATTTAGGATAATTGGATCATGCCATTTTGGTAAGCATAGGCAATTTCGCCACTTGTACAACGCTTAACCAAATCCTGTGTTGACTAATGGTGTTCACCGAAGATCTTATCGATGTTTGGTTTGACTAGAAAATGTATAGTAGGCCAAGTCAATTCATTGAACCATTCTACAGTTGACTAAAGTACAGATCGAAGTTTCTTGGAGAATAGTTTGTTTAGTTCTGTATGCTTTCTAATGGCATTTTGAAGTCCTCTTATCACCTTTATTTTGCAAATTGTACTATTCTCAAATAACATAATCGCAAAAGCAAATTTGCTCTTTATCATAGCATTGAAATTGGAGTACATGCTTTTTGGCTTAGTGTGACAACTTAACATTAAAGCAAATCCCTTGACTTAGTATGAACATCTTACATTAAGCAAATCCCCTGTCTTGTGTTGCCGACTTGCCGTCATCTGCACTCAAGAAAAAAGGGAACACCTTTGCTCTCAATGCACATGATATTTCTTCACTTCAGAGCAATACCATAATCTCGCAATGAAACGATGTTTGCACATGCACTTTTCCGCATCACAAGATTTTCTTCTATAAACATATATCAAGAAAATGTTACTGTCTACAGTTTGACACTGAAATTTAGTACTTCGTTTGCACTAGTACAGAAGCACTCATCGCCCGTAATGTTCCTCATGATCAATGTTAGTCTGATGATCTCAAACCTGCTTCACATGAATGGATAATATGCTCCGCGAACAACCTATACCATTGTTAGCATTGCCAAATTGCCGTTGCACCCGGAAGATGATTTTCTTCACTGTCTGATGCTATAACAATGATGCATAATCAAGTAGCATAAGCTGCATAATTATGCAATCCATCTGGATCTGGGATGATGATCTGAGCTTCTTTTGGAAGAGAGTCATCATCCACAGTGGCTTCAGCTTCAGCTAGCAACTCGTTGCAGTGAATGGAGAGGGTACGTTTTTCTTGCTGAAATAGCCTGCAAGCAGAACAGGAAAATGAGCTCAAAACATGAAATGGCGTAAAGACAATTGAGAGAAAAGAATATTGAAACTTACGGATTCTTGCAAAGCATTGGGCTTTGAACTGTTAAAACATATTTGCAGGAAGAGATCTCCTTAATTGAACTAATCACTACAGTGGGTTCTGAACATACAAATCTAACCTGTAGAAAGAAAGTAGCAAGTGCAGTCAAACATACTACTTAATATGACATAGAAACAAAACGTTTTTTTTTTTCATACCTCTGTTTCCCGGGGCATATCAGTGAGATCGCAGACAGTCCCATTTGTGTACAGGTGGACATGATACCTGAAACATGAAGAAAAGAGATTCATTCAAGTGGGTTTAGCTTACAGATATAATTTGCTTTATATATCCTTATATTCGTATATTACCTCTTAGAGGTGTCTATCAGGTTATCATCTTCATCAGCAGAGTCAGATGTTTGATTTTCATAGTAAGCATCAGTTGCATCAGCATCATATTCACCCAGAACATATTCTTGAATAACCTGCAAACAACACAAACTTTACGTGGCAATTCAAGTGCTCTAGAAACTGTCGGCTGCATTTATTGTCAAAGATAAAATATTTTATTTTTCATAATGTAGTGTGTAACTGTGGCCAGAACTTGTCTCTCCTGTAAAAACTAGCAACTCTTGGATTGACGCATCTCAGATATTTTTTAGATAGTGCATAAAGAGGATAAAATACAATGACTGATCTGAGCAAAGAAAATAAACAGGATGGGGCAGCTTACCTTCTCGCCCTCTACGTGGACTTGTCGGATTTTCCCGTAGTAGCAAAATTCATAAGACCACCAACCTTCATGCTGTGTCAAAATAGTAATAGCAATAATCAGTTTTTGTTCAGTCAATATAAAATCAGGCAGTGGAACACATGCAGTTCTACTGACCGCATAAAGAAAGAGTTCTATCTCACCCTGTAGAAGCACTGATCCTTGAGAATTTCCAGCAATTCATCTGGATCCTTTGGCTTAACTCTCCGTTCACTTTCTATGATAACATTGGTTGCGTTTTGTGGGATTATCGACTTCATGGTTTTTGTTTCCTCAACAGGTAGGAAGCATGTATAATGTTTCCCCACGTGGCTAGTCATTGGTACAGATTCCTGGCCATTCTCCTGCATAGTACACCATAGAAGTCTTTGATTGTGATAACAGGAAGTGTTCTTGGAATAAAGTAAAGAGCGACAATTGCTGAAAATAACTGAAATTTTTGATGAGAATGGAATGAAAAACACATGATTTACAACAAACATAATCAACATTGCTTAGATCGGAATCGTTTATTTATCACAGCTAATCACTAAATCTCACTACAGTTTAGACAATGCCTTTATATTACCAACACCAAGGCTAGTAGGCTACATTAGCAGGTATGAGGATTGTTCAGATCTTGCTAGCTTCGGTTCTAAAAGATGTACACATGATCACCGAGTGTGCAGAATTTGTGACAACTAAATAAAGCTGATTATTCCTGTAACTGTAAAACAGAGGAAAATTTAGCAAAAACTTACTGGATTAAATGGCGCATCGACAGGATGGAACTCAACATGGTACCTCGGCTCACGCGAATTCCGCCCAAACGGCGCACCTGACATCGGCAACAATTCAGTGCAATTCTGCTTTGTTTTTCCTCTTGCAGCAATTAGAGATCGAAAAGTAAGAAAATAAATAGATCATGGCCAAATGGAGTTAGGTCCAGCAAATCATCAGTTATTAGCAATTTCAGATCATACAAGCACACAAAGAACAGCCTTCAACTACAGAATTCTAGATCTAGGCAGTAAATGAACATGGCCACCGTGAAGCAAGCAGCAGGCAATCATAATCGAACAAAATGAATAATGAAATCGACAAGTATTCCATCAATATACGCCGAGAAATCGCATCGAGCAAGTGGTGAATTTGGATCGAGAATGACATGAAGAGAGGGACAGTCCATGGGGGGCGCACGACGGATCTTGATTTCTTGCCGAGACTCCGACGCGATTACCTGAACTGGTGAAGATCTGATCGGCGGCGGCAGTCAGAGCCGCAGCCGCCGCCGCCGCCACGACGAAGAGCACCACGCGCGCCCCGCCGGCGAGCCCCATCGTCGGCGACGGCGCAGGGTTCTCTCGACTTATCTCTTCAGCGTTCGCGTGTTGTTGGTGGTGGCGTTTTTCAGTCTTAGACCTCGAAGACGTATTCGCTGTTTCCGCCTTCTCACCCCGTATACACGCCGTATAGGAAAGCCGTTTTCCCTACAGGGAAGCGCTACACGATGGAAGCCCAACTTAATTAACGCGGATGGATTAGTTCGATGAAAAAAACTGTAATTAGCGCGCAAACTAACCACCCCGCCCGCGCCGCGCTAATTCTGCCCGTGGCGGAATGCGACGGTTTTGCTGTTCGGGCGACGCGACGCGACGCGCCACGCCGCGCGCGTGCGTTCGTTCGTCCGCAGCCAACTTCCGGCGCGCCTCCGCGTGAGCGCGCGCGCGCCACCGGCCGCAACGCCGCGCGTCCTCATCCATCCGTGGCGCCAAGCGGGCTGGCGGGCGGGCGCGGCGCCGCGTGCGACAGCCGATGGCCGCGGGCGCGCGCGCGCGGGCGGAGGGAGCGCCTATATGTTTAGTGCGGCGCCCGCTTCTGTCACCGCCATTGCAGACGCTCGGAGAGGCTCAGAGCAGCAGCGAGGAAAGGTTTTGCGCGAGATAGGAGGAGGAGGAGGAGGAGGAGGAGGAGGAGGAGCTTGATCGTTTGCCAGTTCGCCATGGAGGTCGAGCGCGTGGCGGCGGCGGCGGGTGGTGTTCACGGCTTGCAGCGCGCGCCCGGTGCGATGGGTGGCGGGACGTCGTCGCTGCTCTCCGCGGCGGTGCAGGAGATGCTGATGGTGCAGAAGAGCAATAAGGCCATCAAGAAGCCGCCGCGGGCGACGCCGCGCCTCCCGCCCGTCACCGGCGAGCGCCGCGGCGGAAGCGGCGGAAGCGTGGACAGGGGGGAGGCCACGGCGCCAGCGCCGAAGCGCGCGGCGCGGGCGTGGCAGCCGCCGGCGAAGAGGGTCGCCAGGAGCATGCTGAGGCGGGGCGCGCCACCGTCGCCGGAGGAGAAGAGGAAGGTCCTGACCTGCTGCTGCGCGCGCCTCCCGCCGGGGCTACGCTGCGCGCTGCACCAGTGCGCTCCCGGCCAATCGTGGATGCGGTCGCATTGCGGCGGCGGCGGCGCCATTGCCGCCACCAGCGAGGCCGTGGCGCCCCGGGCGTGCGGGCGCGGCGGGTGGCTGTTCAGCGAGTACGCCCGGTGGCGCAGGAGCGTGTGGATGCCGAGCCGGTTCTACCTAGAGCGCATCGACGGGCAACCCCGTCCGCCGCCCGGCGAGCTCGACGCTGGCCGCCGGCCGCCGGCGAGCTAACCGCGCGTAGATATGTAGGAATGTAGCAATTGTTCTTAGCTTCGTAGCAATCTGATGCAAATATATATCAAATACAGTATGTGAAATGGTGCATGGATGAAATGAAACACCGTGCACTGCTCCTATTGTATTTGCAACAAAAAGAACAAAATAAGCTAAAAATAGTTATAGTACATTTGCAGCTATATTTGTTGTTTTTTTACAATTTGTAGAAGTTGAATTTAGTCTTACATATTTGTGGAGTGATATATTTTATATTAATCTATCTTACCATTTTTGTCAAAAAATTTTATAACTATTTAGGTGGCATAAATGAAACGAGGGATATCCCCTCGAGGGATGAAATCACTTTCCCATGTACAATGTGTCATAGTTATGGATACCACATACCTAATAGTAGTCGACTAAACTCGGCAGGGCCCATCACATACCATATCTTATACGGAAACAAACCTCGTATATAGAAGGAGTTCCGGATAAGGAATGACGAGTAGAGTTCTATATGAAAACGACAAGGACTACTCAGATCGTATCCATATTTATCTACTTAGTTCTACTTGGACAAAGGGGCTGGGTATAAATACAAGCCCCCCTAGGAGGAGAGGGGACACGCCACAAAGCCACAAGCCAATACAAACCAATACGCTGTCAGATCTCGACATCAGAGTTTAGCCTAGACAAACCCAATCCGGTGCCTACAGAAGCCGGCAAGAGGGATCTAGTGCCATCTCTGATCTCACCGAGTACGGATTCGAGGAGGAAGACTACCCTGTTGTCGTCTACGAGTTGGTTATCTAGCCGCCAAGTCGACGACAGTTAGATATGTTATCCCAAATATTGTACTTGTGTGATTCAGATGAATAAGAGCAACGCCGGCTCCGGTCAACAGGATGTAGGGCTATTACCTGTAAGATAAGGGGCTCGAACCTGTATAAAAATCCATGTCTCCATCTCTTTTACCTCAATCACATATACCCTAGTACCAACGATCCTCATACCATCCAAATACCGTAGTTGCGGTACCACCCGTCGACACAATGTGTACTGCTCTGTCGGTCCACCAATCCGCCGTCATGTCCACAGAGGTTGTGGGGGAGCATGAGGAGGGGCTAGCTCTGCGACTCTACTCCCGAGACTTCTTGCCGAAGGAGCAGGGACAACACCATAGCTATAGGTCCCTCGTGCTGGCCCGCCTCCAACGTGACTCGGCGTGCGCCGTGGCGATGTCGGCCCGCGCGGCGATAGCGGCGGACGGGGTGACCACGTTCAACCTGATGCTGGCAAACGTCATGGTATTCGAGGCATTGGCGACTAAGCAGTGGAGATACCGGGTGACGATAGAGTTGTATGTATTGATGTTGTACAACAATGGTTGATGACCCTGTCCATGATTCGTAGCAACGCGGTAGGCGGTTTGATCCGATTAGATTTTTGACGACAGTTGACAGTTTGGAGTAGTTAAATTGGACCCTCTACTAGCCAATACCCCATCTGTCCCAAGAAATAGACTAATCCTACCTACGAACCTGGACATGTGTGTCCAGGTTGGTAGCTAGGAATTCGTTTTTTTAGAGGACGGAGTAGTATATGTTAAGTTTGATGACAGTTATTGTTTAGACTGATAACTTTCACTCCCTCATTTTTCATGCGCACACTTTTTAAACTATTAAATGATGTGTTTTAGTAAAACTTTTATATAGGAAAGTTATTTTTTAAAAATATATATTAATCTATTTTAAAGTTTTTTAGCTTGTACTTAATTAGGCATGCGCTAATCCACCACTCAATTTTGCGTGAAGGGATGAAGGGTTTTCAACCTCTATCATCGAACACTCAATTAAAATAGCAGCCCGTATGGCGGGCTTGTGGCCTACAATGTTAGGGGCCATAAGGAGATTAGCTCTTCGATCTTGTGGGCTCTAACATGTGATGATTTAATCGAGAGATGAGAAGATTGCAAGATTGAGAAGATACGCAAAACGAGATAGGTCATTAGTGTATGATTAATTCAGTATTAATTATTTTAAATTTTAAAAATAGATTCATATGATTTTTTAAAAGCAACTTTCCTATATAATTTTTTTACAAAACACACCGTTTAGTAGTTCGGGAAACATACTCGTGGAAAACGAAACAAACTTTCTTTCCTTTTTCCACTGCCGAAGAGAGCCTAGTCACGAAAAAAGTTTACAAGCATTGGATTGTTTTTCGTTTTTCATATCATCTAATTAGTCATGTAAAAAATTGATAAAATAGATCAATATGTGGTGATAATTGTATCATTCTACGAATATTTACGTTTAAATTCTGCCCACCTGTATCTTAAGCAACGTGTGGTACATGAAAAACAAGGTTAGATTGAAGGGTGACTCGGCACAAACAAGTGCTCTACACAATAATAATATCCTCTTCGTATCTAAATATTTGGCACCGTTGACTTTCTTAAACATGTTGAACAGTTTGTCTTATTAAAAAATTTTAAATAATTATTAGTTCCTTTCCTATAATTTGATTCATTGTTAAATATACTTTTACGTATACATATAGTTTTATATATTTCACAAAAGTTTTTTATTAAGACGAAACAGCGTTAAATATTTATGGATGGATGGAGTAATATATATTATTTATCATCAGTAATCAGTTAAGTATCATACTTTGGGGCACTTGAGATCTCAAAGCTAAGCCACCTTTCATCGCGCTTGACGCATTTCCTCTGAACCCAATCCCAGCTGCGCGGCCGCAGTCCAGGCAGGAGCCCACGTAGGATGCCTTTCATCAGCTTGTCGCAGTCTTCTACCGACAGAGACTTGCTCTCCTCGTCCCACAGCCTCGGCAGCCGGCCGGCGGCGAGCTCCACCGCGACGTCCGAGAGGCGGCCGACGCTCTCCACGCGCACCTCGTCGGCGAAGCAGCAGCGCCACTCGAACACGCGCAGCCTGGGCGCGCGCACGCGGACGCACGAGTAGCGGGTGAAGAGGGCGCGGAACCGCGGCTTCAGGTGGTAGGCGGCGGGGTCGGACGTCGCCATGGGCTCGGTGTCGCAGCGACACGAGACGCGGAGCTCCGCCAGCTCGTCGGCGAGCACGGCGATCCCGGCCTTGGTGGCGGCGCTCATCACGGCGACGTCGGTGACGATGAGGCGCCTCAGCCGCGGCATGGCGGCGGACGTGATGTCGATGCCGCCGCCGGCCGGAAGCGTGCACTTGACGATGTGCAGCTCCTCCAGCGCCGGGAAGACGACGCCGCCGCCGGAGAGGAACGACTCCGGGCGTAGCACCGCCAGGCCGTTCCGCGCGAGCCACCGGAGGGAGGCGACGCCGGGGCCGTGCAGGCCGGGCGGCCGCACCGCGTACCAGTACAGCCGCAGCTGCAGCTCGGCGGTCGCCGGCGGCAGCTCGAGCGACCACTCGCCGGCGTCCTCGTCGGGGAGCCCCCTCGCGCACTGCACGCCCAGCTCCAGCCTCGTCGCGTTGGCCAGCGCGACGAACTCCTCCGCGTACCTGCACTCGAACGGGACGTCCTTCCGGTAACCAATGTGAAGCGTTTTCACGGTGTCGCCGCCGCCGCAGCAGCGCCGCTGAAGCGTGCGCGCCATGCTCTGCACGCGCGGTTTGCTCGACTCGCCAAGAGGCGCGAGAAGCCCCTGCACGGACATGCTGAACCGAACGTTGGGGAGCCGGGTGTGGAGATGCTGCCACCGCCGTGAAACCGCGGCGGCTCGCTCGGCGTCGGCGTAGGGGCACATGGACAGGATGGGCACGAGGATGTCATCGGGGAGCTTGCTGATCAGGTCCTCTTTGGGTTTCTGTTCCGCGGGTAGTGCGTTACTGCGCTGATTTGCTTGCCGTCGTTGCGATGGCTTCGACACGTCTCCTCTCTTTTTGTTCTGCCTCTTTTTTCCAGCCATGATGAGATGGCAGCAGCAGACAAATTAGAGCAGGTACAATAGCAGGCTATTAGCCAGCTGTAAATATATTTTAATGAGATAAAAGATGAGAGAGAAGAGCAGCATGCTACAGATATGTAGCCAGCTACAGCACGGATTCCAAGACATAATGTGTATATGATAGGTGGGACCATATATTAGTAGTAAAGTAATCAACTATTATATAAATTGGCTATTAGATTGACTATAGATAAATTGGAGCTAATAGTGGGCTATAATATTAAACTTCTCTTAAGATCAACGATTGGTGTCACTTGGTTGGGTACACGTACCAATGAGACTGCACGATTGTATTCATTGGCTGGACAGATGTGTTCCCAATTCCGACTCGGACTCAAAATTCGATTCGTCAGGTACTGGAATATGAACATCCAAAGCTCCCAGACCCATATATACTCTCTATCAATTTTCTCCAAACCAAACTGGACTCGGAGATCAATAGATCATGTCTTGACTGCCGGTGGATACGATGCTAGTACGGACCATCGACGGCCAGCACAGGCGCCCACGGCGGGGTCAATCGTTGTTAGATAGATGACGTTGTTGAGTTTTTATCACACATTTAACGTTCTTATTATTAAAAAAAATTATGTAATTATAAAGTTTTGGAAAAAGATAAATAATTAAATATGTAGTTAAAAGTTAATGATATCATCTTTTTAAAAACGGAGGGAGTACGAGTGAGCCAGAAGAAAGCCACGTTGACCCAAGTTGTTACACGCATGTCATCATGGAAAGACTCTCGCTCCCGCACCTCACTCCGATTATTATTCCCTCCAAATCCAAGCTCAGTTCGATAGAGCTGAGGACAAATATGTTGATTAACTAAATAACAATTATTATATATTTTTAAAAAATATTTGGTTTTTTAATAAACACCTACATGTATTTTTTTTAGAAAAAACGTATTGTTTAATAGTTCGAGAAGTATGCTCAGAATATAGCAAAATCAAAACTCACTTCCCAACATAGCCTTATGCAAAACAAAATAGTAAGAAGAAAAATAGTATTTCAGTCCACTCTATAAATAAAACATCATACTCCGAGAGTTTTTTTAGAACCGGTAAAATAATGATTAGGAAAGGGAAAATGGAAATAGGACGATGTTTAGGATCGGATGAAATGAGTTACGAGTGACTTATCAAACAGTCCCAAAGAGGTCGGATACTGAATTTTCGCGTGTTACAATGATGCACGAACGTGATTCGAGTATTCGACAGGAGAGGTAGCTAGGCTGAATGCACACATTAGCCGCAGGTACAATTAGCCCCCTTATCGTTTGGGCATGTACGGATGATACGCCATACAAGCAAAATTGTAATAATTTGTGAGTAAAAGTTTTCTACGTATGTTCTTAACGATTTAAAAACCAATGCTGAAAAATAAATTTCGATAAAAAAATCAACATCAACTTTAAAATTAAGTTTTAAAATTTAATTTTTAGTTAATGTTGATTTTATATAAGGCAAACGATGAGAGATAGCATGGTGCCATGTAATTAGCACGTATGATTAGATGTAGGTACGGTTACCGTAAAAAGTGAACAGAGTAAATTGCGTTATCAGTTCTTAAATTTATAACAGGGTTTTACCTAAATTTACAAACTAGGCGTGCATCGAGTTTATTAAACTTGGTTTTCCACATCATCCGGTCTAAAGTATTGTTTGATCGTGATCTTACCTGCATGACATGTCACATAAATAATGACTGGCATATTTGTGATAAATAGTTAAAGACTTTGTTCATTTTATTGCCACTTTAAACTCTATTAAATTTTAATGTTATTAAGTTTTGATAGGATAACCAATTAAACATAATGTTACCAAAATACCAATGCTATGGTACCCAAGTCGGGTAGTTTTGAAAGTTTTTTTTTTCATAAAGACTGCTACCAATTTTTGAAAAGACTTTGAACTAAATTTCTTGAACGGCTATCAAAAATCTGATAGGATCAAACTATTATTAAATTTTGCCAGCAAGCACTGAATCCCCCCCGCCTCCCCCGTGCCGCGTTCCTGCCCTCCTCTTGAGCGACTACGCCGTCGCCGGCCACGCTTTCCTCCTGCCAATCTGCCCCAGTCCCGACTGCCCGCTCCCCCTCGCGCCCTTCCTGCTCCCGACCGACAGCACCCTCCCCGCTTCCTCTTCAGACTCGACTGCTTCGATGATCTTTTGTGAGTCCTTTGAGTTTTTATCTCTCCTCGAATTCCTGTATTTTTCCTGCGGCCTAATCAAATGGCCGTTTCTATGTTTTTCCTGTATTTTGCAATCCTCTGTTTTATACTTGTATTCCTATCAAAATGCTATGTTTTTCCTATTCCTATGTTTTTCCATTCCCGCGATGTAACTATATTGTCTTTGTTATTAACATTTATGTTCATGTCTAAATTGTTCAAATATTCTGCCGAATTTCTATTGGAACTATATAACATATAAACTTGTTATTCCTAAGGCTTTTTCATCTTTAAGATTATATAGTTAATCTCTAGTATTTACGTGATTGTTGTTCTACGTTGAAGTTAACCAGGAGTACTAACAACATGAGTTGCAAAATTTTACGGTACCTATAATAAAAGAGTAATTTTATCATTCTTGAGAAGATACCAGAGGTACCATATTGTATTGTCTAGTGTAAAATTTAGTACCTTTAGATACTAGGTATTACCAAAAATTTTAAGTAGAATTTAGGTACCTCAAATATTTTTTTAAGGACGGTAAAATTTCTCATAATAAAATTTATGGTCTCCTTAGTGGTTTTCAGTTTAACAGCTTTAAGCTGTAATTTGTTTCTATGTATTTGTGTATATTCTTCTTTGCGTCTGTGTAGGCTAGCTGTGGCGTTCAAGAAGGCACTTGGGTCTAGCAATTGCCAAACGGGCCATAGTACAAGGAAATGGACTGGATTGTTTTTTTTTTCTTTTCCACTGGGCGATGCCGGCCGGAATTTATGAAGATTATGAGAAATTGGCACATATGAACAAACAACAAGCCTGATGTATTCAATACAGTAGACAACACCTATCAAATTTGCAAGATACCTGGCTCTACCTTTCATCCTTCGTTTTTGATCGTGTGGCTTCCAATTTCGACTGTCAATTGTCATATAGTCAGTTACTATGCAGGATAGTAGAATGGAGAACGTTTATTCAGTTATACTAGTATCTTGCTAATACCTGCCTTTTGTTTGAGGATTCTACCAGGTCAAATCTATAATCGAAGGGTGTGTTTAGTTCACACAAAAATTGAAAGTTTGATTGATATTGGAACGATGTGATGGAAAAGTTGAAAGTTTATGTGTGTAGGAAAGTTTTAATGTAATGAAAAAGTGGAAGTTTGAAGAAAAAGTTGGAAACTAAACCAAACCGAAGTCGAGATGGAAGGATGGGCCTTTTCTGTCGGCCTTACCAGACGGCTGCGAAACGAGGGGAGTGTGATGGTAGTGGTTTATATGTGTACAGAAACCGAGAAACAAAGGCATGTGGAGTATCCCTCCGTCCTTAAAAAAACTAATTTTTAGAGATGAATCTGGACAAGCATTTGTTTAGATTCATCTTTAGAAGTTATTTTTTTAGACGAAGTTTTTAGATCTGAAAGCATATGACAAACACCAAAAGAAAGGACAGATATCATTCATCATCCAGATAACATCGCTTTCCAGCCTCTCACAAATGCTCAGTGGAAGCACAAAAAATTATTCTCAATGACCACTTGTGATAGTCTATGATTTGCCCTGTCTTTAGCCTTGATATGCCATTTGAATGACATTTTCTGCACCAATGACAAAAAAGGAGATGAATTAGGAAAAATGCAAAAGAAATTGCACATTTGGGGAAACCATCCGCTGAATATGTACTTACCTCAGATGTACTTAAGGCACCTCGGCCTTCTTCAGCCTCTCGACGGTGAACTTGGCACTGGTGAGAATCAGCTCATCATTGTCGCCGTAGCCCTCGAACCCATCCTTGGAGAAGTGCAACTCATGCTGATCCCCATTGACCTGTCAACAGAGAAACATCAGTGAACAATGGATTTCATCAAAATTTCTGGAGCTTTTTTTTTTAAGAAAATGAGATAAACCCGGCCTCTATGTCTAATCGGACGCACACAGCCAAACCAAAATTTCTGGAGCTAAAGTGCTGAACTTCACCTTGTTGGCAATCCAGTAGGGTGCCGGGCTGAAAGCGATAGGGATGTGTCCATCGCAATGGATTAACATCACCATGTTCTTGGAATCAGGGGTGAGGGCTTTCCCCTTGCCGGGTATGAGGGAGACTGAGCCCAGGGAGCCACAGTCCTTGCACTACATTCAAACAAACAGATGGAAGCAAAAATTTAGAAACCACAACTAACAGATGGAAATGAAAGAAGAAAATGCATCCATACAGTATGTCACAGGTCGGATAGCACATCACGAATGCCATCTGACCTAGATGGTGAGGGCAGGGGTGATCTGGGAACAGACAGATCTCCTTGGCAGTCTCCCCACGGCAGACGTCGCATGTCAACTGCAGATCAAATGAAACAAATATTACCACCTAATTAACTGTTAACCTATAAGGAGGATGTTTTATTGGAGAATGCAAAATAGAAATGGTTCCAGTTAATTAGCTTAACAGCTAGATCAAAGAAGGTTGAATATGTGAGTGTGTTGATTATTTTTTTGTTAAACTGCTAAATTTTTGGTACTAAATATAAGTAACGGAATCCACCAGAATCCTACGTCCCACAGCACACAATACATTAAACTACTACTACCATTCATATGAACAAGTGAACAATTTTTTTTTCTGCTAAAGATAAGTAATCCATCAGAAAAACGCGGCGAATCCAAGCAGCTGGCCAGGGTGTTCTTCGCAACTTTTTTTTTAACACGCGCTTCGTATTTTTTTTTCTACTAGGCCTGTGGAAAGAAAGAGATGCAACGGGCCAAAATCAGCCCAACCAAACAGCTCCTAAGACAGATCAAACACCAAATCTTTTTTTAAAACAAACTAACACTTTGATCAGCCCCAAAACTACCACGAATCAGTACCACTACCAACGACGACATGGCACACAGGGAGTTCATCCTGGAACGGAAAGAAAGGGATCGATTATTATTCGTATGTACCTGAAGATAGTAGGCAGTGGCTGTACCGTCGAACCCTCCCATGGGTTCCACACGGACGATCCCATCCATGACCACCTCGCCGAACAGCGCGTAGTACGGCATGGTGACGCGACGGCGGCCGGCGGCGATGGCACTCATGGCGAGATGCTTCCAAGAAGAGCGTGGGCTGCGTGACGTACGTGACCGTCTCAAGGCAAGGGCTGTTCTTATTTTCAAAGTTTCGTGGCTATCAAGTCGTTGGTCGAGCAGAGGGGGTGAAAAGGTTACAAGGAGGTTACATGTTGTCAGCGGCGGTCGGCGACACGCATACAGTGCCACATTAACTGCTTTAGAGCTCCTTTAACCTGTTAATCGCGGCTGTTGTTTTTTCCCTGCAATTTGGCCTTCTCAACCCAGGGTAAACCCGTTTTCCCTTCAGGGACGCGTCACGTGTTTGAAACCCAACTTAATTAACGTGGAGCGGATGGATTAGCTCGGTGATGAAAGAACGGTAATTAACGTGAATGCGGTTTTGCTGTTCGGGCGACGCGCCGCGCCGCGTGCAGAGTGTTCGTCCGCAGCCAACTTCCGGCACGCCTCCGCGTGAGCGCGCGCGCGCGCCACCGGCCGCAACGCCGCGCGCCCTGATCCATCCGCCCGCGAAAACGGATAATCCACCGCTGAACCGCCGTATCTGGGCGCGGCGCCGCGTGCGGCAGCCGATGGCCGCGCGCGCGCCTACGTATATGTTTCTGTCGCCGCCATTGCAGCGCAGACGTGCTCAGAGCAGCGAAGCGAGGTGAGATTTTGGGCGAGATAGGAGGAGGAACGTGATCGGTTGCTCGGCTCGGCATGGAGGTGGAGCACGCGGCGGCGGCGGGTGCTATTCACGGCTTGCAGCAGCAGCCGCCGAGCGCGGCGTCGCTGGCCAGGGCCAGCTCTGGAGTAGGGCCATAAGGACGATGGCCTAGGGCCAAGCTAAAATGGGGGGATCCTGTATAGATATTTAGCCCAATAGGCTAGAATTGATCCTTCTCACTGATTAGAATTGATGATCCAATCCATCGATCCTTCTCACTGATTAGAATTGATCGGTTCTTCTAATTTATTTTTTGTTCCCCGTTAAATTACCAAGATTAGGGACTTAGGGTTCTACCGTTCTGGGTTCAACCGTTCAAGAGATTATACAACCATTCAGTGCACCATAAGTCCATAAGCTAATTAAATTAAGGTATATGGTGGATCAGTTTTCATTAGGCCTAGGCCCTTGATTATATACATTTTTCCCTCACTGATTTTAGGTCATAGTACTTTGTTTCTACTGTGTGTTTTTTAAGTTATCAATCATACTATCGATATTATTTATCGAGAACAAATTGTTATATTGCAACTTGCAAACTGTTTGATTTATTATTTAACATGTTAGAAATGTTTATTTCTGTTACTATAGTATAGATGCTTTATAGATATTACAAGTTAAAAAATAGCCTTAACTTCTTAACTTCTAAAGGGTCTATAATGTGAAGTTCGCCTAGGGCCCTTTAAAATGTTGAACCGGCCCTAGTCGCTGCTCTCCGCGGCGGTGCAGGAGATGCTGATGGTTCACAATAGCGATAAGACCATCAAGAAGCCGCCGCAGGCGACGCCGGCGAGCTAACCGCGCGTAGATGTAGGAATGCAGCGATTGTTCTTAGCTTCGTAGCAATCTGATGCAAATATCAAATACAATGTGTGAAATGGTGCATGAATGAAACGAAACACCATGCACTGCTCCTATTGTATTTGCAATGTATATACGGAGAGTTCAAACAAGATTAGCCATTCTGTCTCGTTTCAAGGTGACAACACGAATGAAAATGACTTGGAAAAACAAAAACTCATAAAAAGTCGAGCTGGATTATAGTACTGACACATAGCCCAAAATGCCATTTTCTAAAGCAGCTAGCACAGTACTAATTGTTCACCGTTAACCATTGTTTTATCGTGATATACGTCACCATACTTAATCCAAATCCAACATGGTCTAAAAATCGTCCATCCTAATATCCTGTGGACTTGAGATGATGGTATCGCGCATCACTGTGCCGTTATTTCTTGCAATTTTGAGGAGTTCGATATGCACGATTCTGTAGTGATATGGGCTGTTAGTAAAATATCCAAGTGAAAGGGCACCCTTTTGCTAATATAGGGTGTGTTCAGTTTGATGCCAAAACTAACCCCGCCATTTTTTTAATGCCAACAATTGATAAGATATAACTATACAACATGATAAACTAAAGATTATTTTACCAATGCTACATTGTAACTCAGAAACTTCTATCATAATAAAAGTTTGAGAAGAGATCAACCTAAATACATCTAATGCTACTGTATAATTTGGTACCAGCAAAATATGCTAAAACTTGGTATTACCGAATTCTGGTAAATTTTGGTATCATATGACGTGTTACAGTATTTGAGACATGTTTATGTTGTTACTTACGAAAATTTGGGATTGTCAATGCCAGAGAAAATGGATATTTAGCCATGTTCAAAACACGGTTTCGCTAGAATGCCATCCCGAAAATGCGATTCGATAAAATGCCAATATGAAGCGTGCGTCTACCGCCACTTTGGCATTTTTGCCATTTTATTCATTTTCGAAAAGATTTTCTCTCATCTACTAGGTGATGAGATAAAATTGCCCCTTATCAACTCAGTCGAAGCTCGTCATTGTCGGGGAAGGTGGCGGCGGTGGGCACCGGAGGTCGCGCCGTTGCCCGTGCCCATCGTCGAAGAAGTGGTTGGTAGAGGGCGCCGCCGTCCGGCTGTGGATGCGGCTGCCCAAGGCCGTGGTGGCTCTCAGCGGCGGCCTTCCTCACTGGCTCCACCGACGAAGTCGTCACCACCGCCCCAATCTCCCACTACCTCCACCTCCTCCGCTCCCTTCAAGCCGTCCCCACCGACCGCCTCCACCATGCGGCGCCACCGTTACGTTGCCCACTGCCACCGCCCGCGGCCCCAATCTTGTCGAGCTCCGGTGAGTTGCAAGTGGCGGTGGACCTTGCCATGCCTATGCTGCGCGTCGTCGCCGCCGCCGCCGCCATGCTCTCGCTCGCCGCCTCCTCTGCTCCGGCCACGTGGACCCACCATCGGGACGCCACCTCGCACTCCTCGTTCGTCCGCCTCCAACGCTCACTCGCGCGATCCCGCCGCGTGGACCTCGTACACCGGGCGCTCCTGCAGCGGCCTTCCTCTCGGCTCTCCTCGAGGGCCGCCAGCTGCACGCACTCGCCGCCAAGCTCGGCCTCGCCCCGTCCCACACCATCGTCGACGCCCTTGTCAGCAACGAAGACCACCTCGCCGCGCTCGATCTCGATCCCCTTTCAGCCGACGAGCAGGGGCAATTTGGTCTCATCAAGCTGAATTCTAGCGAAAATGGAATTGAAAATGACGAAAATAGAGAAAATGACAAAGTGGCTATGATTGCGTGTTTCATATTAGCATTTTAGTGAAACACGTTTTTAGGATGGCATTCCAACTAAGCCGCTTTTTGAACGTGGCCAAATATCCATTTTCTCGTCAATGCCACGGCATGTTTGAGTTAGCAAAAACTGAACACGATAAAAATAGAGCAATTTGTACAAATGCGACAAATAGAGGTGTCGAAATGAAAATTTCCCTTCTAGCGAAGAGAAGGAGAAGCACGCACGCAGCACGTGAACTTCCAGCTCTAAACCCTTCCCCCTCTCTTGTTCCAAGCCCCTCCTCCCCTTACCCCCCCGCCGCCGCCGCCGCCGCCGCCTCATCACCCGAAACCCTAGCCCCATTCGCCGCGGTCGCCGCCTCACCCGAAACCCTAGCCCCATTCGCCGCCGGGGTCGCGGCCTCAGGAGCGGAGGCCATGGAGGACGTCTGCGAGGGGAAGGACTTCTCCTTCCCCGCGGAGGAGGAGCGCGTGCTCAAGCTGTGGTCGGAGCTCGACGCCTTCCACGAGCAGCTCCGCCGCACGAAGGGCGGCGAGGAGTTCATCTTCTACGACGGGCCCCCGTTCGCCACCGGCCTCCCGCACTATGGCCACATCCTCGCGGGCACAATCAAGGACGTGGTCACCCGCCACCAGTCGATGCGCGGCCGCCACGTCTCCCGCCGCTTCGGGTGGGACTGCCATGGCCTCCCCGTCGAGTTCGAGATCGACAAGCAGCTCGGCATCACCAACCGGCAGCAGGTGTTCGACCTCGG